TCTGAGGGACTTCTGTTGCCGCATTTTTTTTCCTTCTGCTCATTTTCAAGCACAAATTTCTAAATTTTAGTTTACAAATGACAATATATTCCCCTTTTTTACTGTTGGTGGGTTTCAGATTGGTCAAAACGGTGAACACCTGGAACATGTCTTGTATAGAAGTGAGACAAATCAATGGTTTTGCATAACTCTGCTGGGACAGGGGACACAGGGCTCAAAGCAGGGACTGTCCCAGGTAAATAGGATATGCCCGTAACCTTAACTCTAACATTACCCTAACTCTACCCTAACTCTAGCCTAAATCTACGCTAACACTGTGCTCGGACCAGTCCAGCTGTGGTGTTAATTTCACCCCGAGGCCGTGTGCTGGGCTCTCTGCTGACCCCAAAACGCTGTAACCTCATGAAGTGTGGAATTCTGCGAGCCCGCGGGCCTTAATGTGCAGTTTCCTGTAGAGAGAGTGCATTCCTCAGACTTGTCCCGCTCCTCGCTGTAAACTCCGAGTCTTTGGGTGGTAGTCCGCAACTTGGAATGTGTTCACCAGGCATTTTAACAGTGTCCCTTTAAGAGTTTCCTCATGCGTGGAGTTCATGTGTTTATGTAACGACCAAAAAGCAAAAAGATGTATGGAAATTGTTGTGACTGTAGTATTTAGTGCTTATTTATTTGACCAGAGTGCAAAAACCATAAAGAATATAGAGGAAGGGTACATTCACACTTGCAAAATTATCAAAATCTGAACTAAACTCCAGCTAAACTTGGAACTGAACCAGAACTCGACCAGGACTAAACTAGGACTAGAACAGGACCAAACCATGTCTACACCAACAATCAAATGGACTCGTTTGGTACCAGACCCCCACCCCCAAACACATCTCTAAACCAGGTCTAAACCAGAAGTAAACCAGGATTAAACCAGGTCTAAAACCAGGACTAAACCAGAATTAAACTATGACTAAACCATGACTAAACCAGTCCTAAACCAAAATTAAACCAGGTATAAATAAACCAGGAGTTAACCAGATCTAAACCGGGACTAAACCGGGACAAAACCAGGACTAAACCAGGTCTAAACCAGAACTAAACCAGGACTAAACCAGAATTAAACCAGGCATAAATAAACCAGGACTTAACCGGGACTAAACCGGGAGTAAACTGGGACTAAAACAGGACTGAGCCAGGTCTAAACCGGGACTAAAACCGGGACTAAAACCGGGACTAAAACCAGGATTAAAACCAGGACTAAAACCAGGACTAAAACCAGGACTAAAACCAGGACTAAAACAGGTCTAAGCCAGAACTAAACCAAGACTAAAACAGAGATACTGTCGGACATAAAACCGGTCTGTGACGCTGAAAAGGTTGAGGACCACTGCTTTACAGCACTATTCCAGTCTAGTGGTCTCCCCTCCAGCCCAGCTCCCACGTCCCTGTTTTCCCAAGCCTTCAGTGCAGTCCTGTGTGAGCGCTCCAGACAAGCCCACCGGTTAGTCCGCTGTCAGTGTGCAGAGGGTCTAAATCACTAACATGCTCGGTCTTTGAAGGAGTCCTGGAGTATCGGAGCTGTGGACTTGGCCTCTCCTCGTCCAACCATGTCGCTCCAGTTATCCCAGGCCTGCTATTAATGATGAGTATTATAAACATGACTTCAGACAGAATCAGATGGGAACGCTGTTTGGTTCGGGAAAAAAAGAAATCAAGTGTGTTTTGGTAATGCCTGGAGACGTGCCCCCCTCCCCTTCAGCTCCATTGGTCTGACTGGGTGGTCCGGCACAGCAGAACAAAACAGCCATGCTTATATTCAGCTTCAATGGGATGAAAATATTGAGTTTATGCCCGCTGTTGCATGAATTGTGTGGAATGGTTAAATCGAATTAAGGCGTAATACAATGTTACAGATTATTCACACGGGGTCAGCGGAGGTCAACGCATGCATGTGATTTTGTTATTGTACTCTCTAGACTGTGTGTACGTGTGTAGTTGACTTTTTCAGCTTTTAACTTTAATGTGGTATGTATGTTAGGGCTATTACATTTTAATCAGGATCATGCCATTTCTAATTGATTAGCGTCGGTCTTTTTAAGTAAGAAAGCATAAAAAAATTGATACTATAACTTCAGACTAGTACTGGAACTATCAAGACTAAAAAAGTAACATTCACAGGACAGAAATTTGCCTTTCCTGAATAGTTTTAGGATGATCTTTAGCTGTTTCAGAACAAGTATAAGACAGAAAAGACAAGTTTACGAATGTGAACCACTGTGGGACATACCTGGACAACTGAGGGATTACACAGAATTCGTGTATCAGTCTTTCATTCATTTTTCAAAATAAAAGCAAAAATAATAATAACAATAATAATAAAAAAATATATATATTTATTAATTATTTGTCTCCAAAACCAAAATAAAAAATGTTTTTCAGTTTTCGATTGTGTGTTGAAATGAATAATGGAAAAAATTGATAACTGTGATGCCAGGCAGGACTAAACCAGGACTAAACCAGGTCTAAACCAGGATTAATTCAAGACTGAACCAATACTGAGTGTCGGGACTGGCCTGGTGGTGCACCCACGTAGACTGTTGGGTGATCGGGGCTGAGACGAGGACCAGACCGAGACCAGACTGTTACTGAGACCGGGACTGAAACTGAGACTGAAACTGGGACTGGGACCGGGACTGGGACCGGGACTGGGACTGGGACTGAGACTGGGACTGAGACGAGACTGAGACCGGGACTGAGACCGGGACTGAGACCGGGACTGAGACCGGGACTGAGACCGGGACTGAGACCGGGACTGAGACCGGGACTGAGACCGGGACTGAGACAGGGACTGAGACCGGGACTGACTTGGTTTAGACCTGGTTTAAACCTGGTTTAAACCTGGTTTAGACCCAGTTTAGTCCTGGTTTAGACCCGGTTCAATCCTGGTTCAGTTCTGGTTAAGACCTGGTTTACTCCTGTTTTAGGCCTGTTTTAGTCCGTATGTGGTGCAAAAGTTTAAGTCACAGAAACGGGAAAAGGCTGTTATTCGTTTTTTCCATTATTCATTTAAACACAAAATCGAAAAATGAAAAAAAAAAAAAGAATCATTATCCATTTTTTCCTTTTGGTTCTGGAAACAAATAATGAAGAAACGTTTTTTTCGTTTTCTTATTTTTGGTTTTATATTGAAAACGAATTAACGAATTATACAGATTACACAGATATTCTGTAACACTATATGGTAATATAAAGTACTATTATTTTATGCTGAAATGTTATTTATTATTATCATCATGGTGTCAGAGTATCAAGTCTATTCCTTTAGTATCGAAATCGAGCTTGAATTTTAGTAGATTTTAGTATCGTGACAACACTAGTCCCTGTTCTTGTATCCCGCCAGTTGGCCGTCTCTCCCTGTGTCCGTGAGTGTCCATGTGATTTTGACTTTGCCAGAGTTGCCTTGTTGGCTGTACCAGTCCGGAGCAGGGGCACGAGGAGGAGGTGAATGCCTGCTTTTGTGGGCCTGGGTGGGGGAGAGCTCGGTCCCTCTGCGGCCCTGGGACCTGAGCCTGGAGATGTGGTCTTTATCAAATGCATACACACAAACTGTCAACACATATGCGCTCAACGTGCTCTGGCGCTCACAACTTGTTTGCAAATTTGAGGAGAAATATGTTTTGGTGTTGTGAGGACGCATTCGGATGTTTGGCCCCGAGCTGCTTGTTCCATTTAGTCAGAGTGAGGTTAGAATATAAGCCTCATTTTGTAGATGTTGAAACATACGCTTTGAAAATGTTTTAAGTCAAGTCAAGAACATGAGCCTGTTGATTATGAAATATACATGGGTGTATTGTTATCTTGACGGGAAAGACTTTAAAAAGCATTAGTTAGTATTATATTAATAACCATGTTCAACTAGTCTGGATTTCCTTCTGGGTATTTGGAGATAAATAAGTTCAAGACTCTCTATTGCGCAAAATTGACTCTTGTGAGCTTTTAGCCATGTTCGAATGCTGTTACCTCCTCGAACTTGTCTGGAGTTGTGTTTTGTTTCATTCACACATGTTTGCCCAAATATGCAGGGTTTGTGTGTTTGTGTCAGTGAAATGAAACACAACTCCAGGTTTGCTTTTGATGAAGAAACAACTGTCTAACATAGATCAGTTTAATACAGGTCCTTTGATGGAACATTCTTGGAAAAGCAATAACATCTCTCTGGAGACACGCAAGGGGCAGACCCTCCACCTGAAAACTTACAGTGGACCTTTAAGTATACAGTAACAGACATCTTTAGTGCTGGGCAATATTAGTCTGATTCATCAGCCGGTTTCACTTCGTGGAAACCTTGCAACATTAGGATTCGTTCACTCGACAGTAGGCGGGCGCTTTTTTTATTTAACCAGTCGCTGCTATTTGGTCTTGATGTATGTAATGCGCCAAATCCCATAGGAAAAGGGCAATAACGTCTTCCACCTTGATAAAATTCACCAAACATTCTCTTTATGATCTCTTTATGCTCGACCGTTTGTTTACTGTTGTGCTGTACCACAAAAGAGATCCAGACAGGCTGATTGGCCGGTGAGCTGTCTACAACTTCTGGGGTTCTTTCAAACCGTCTAGTGTATTCGGATTCCCGACCTAGTCGCTGGAGAGAAATAAAATTGAGCGGAGGTACTAGGTGGTGCCAGCCTGGCTAGGGTAATATGGCAATAAAAATGGAATCGTGATTACATTTTCCACCACTCTTTCCTCCTAGTGGTCAGCCTCTGTCTTGCTCTGTGAGTGACAAGTGGACATAACCAATCACAGTTAACTACAAACTTTCAGAAGCAGAGGACAGCTTTATTTTCCTCTTAAGACTGTGTAAAAGATACTAAGAAAACATGAATCATGATAAAATCGAAATCAAGGTCTGGCTCTAAGAAAATCGCATCGCAGTATGAACTTTTTAGACATATCACCCACCTTTTTATTTCATGACGTAATTGTGTTTGTGTTTTGTTTGTGTTTTGCAGTGGGAGGGCGTGTGAATCGCGAGCTGAATTACACTCGTCAGCAGATGGGAGAGGAGGCCATGTTTAACCCTCAGCTCATGATCCAGACACCGCACGAGGAAGGAGCTAACGTGCTAACGATTGAGGCGCTGCTACAACACCTGGAGTCAGCGCTAAGAGCCAGCAGGGTCCATGTGTTTCTCTATGAGAGGTGAGCGCAGCATGCTCGCTCGCCTCACGAGAGCTTTCAGTATGATTAACTGCAATTAACAAATTACAAAGACTATAATGAATCAGTGAATACAATGAAGTAAAACAATTTAAACACTTTAAACACTTTGCAAATAACACACTTTTAATTTTAGTACCAAGAGCTTTTTAAGAGGGTTTATCTGTAAATTATACCCTTTGGTTCCGTTTTAATAGATTTCTGCTCATTTGGGATCGTTTGGTTGATGTGTTTTAGATTCTAGATGAGAATGACTGGATATAACTGTCTTCTCTTTCGCAGGCAATGGACATTAGAACATTTATGCTACAAATCAGGAGAACTAGTCACAGAAACACCAGTTGTGGACCAGGTAGGTGTAACCATAATTACGTTAATAATAATAAAAATACCATTATTATAATTGGGCCTAGCTAATTCTACTTATGTTACGCTGTTGTTGATTTAGATTATAGAAAGACTACACCCCTGCCTCATCATCACGCCCTTAGATTGTTTCTGGGAAGGAGCCAAACTTCATACTGGAACTGTCTACTTGTTGTGAGTACAATCTCATTTATTCCACGCAGAAGCTATTCTCTAAGTGCTTTTATACGTGTCCTAGTTCGGTCCTGATACAAGTTCAGTTTAGTCTTGATATAGTCTTGGTTTTGTCCTGTTTTGATCCTGGATTTAGTGTAAATTCAGTCTTGGTGATCAGTTTTACAGTGCACATTTTATATCAAGGGGCATTAACATTTGAAACAAAACAAACATGAACTGGATAAACTAATAGCAAAGGAGAAATTCAATTCTGTCAACTGGACAAAAGTTTTTTTTGATCAAAAAGATTTTGCATGCAAGAAACCCATGTATATCAGAATATGACAAACTTAAACAAACTTTATTGATCCACAAGGGAAATGACATTTGTGGATGTTTTGTGGTGTGATTGTGGGTATTTGTTTGCAATGATCTGAACAAAATGAGCTTGCTTTCTCCTTAAAAGGATAGTGTATTTATTATTTGCATAAACTAATTTGATTCATTCTAAAAATGTAAAACATGATATGAAAATCAATCATATTTGTGAATCTTTTGCACTAATAAATTAAATGTTTTGATTATAAATTCAATATGCTGTGGAGCCCTCAATTCCGATTTTTTTGTGAAATCCGATGTTTTTGCGAGGTTGTTCACATTTCCAATTAAATGCGACTTGTATTCGATCCCCTGTGTGAACAGTAAACGGCCCGAAAGTGTCCTACATGCGCACTGGAGGACATGATGACGTCAACCGTAGTGAGCGTGCTCTGTGTTTACGGAAGTTGTCTAAACATGGACGTGAGCATTGAGCACCTGGCGATTTTAAAGTTCCTCTCGTACCAGAGCCAGAACATGAACAACTTACTTGTTTTAAGGAGGAGATTGAGAAGGAGAAGGACGAGGTTTTTGGCCATGGCGTTTTGTAGGACAGTGGCAGCGACGTCCGTTGAAAGGAACGTGTGGATGCGGAGACGTAGCCAAGAGTGGTGAGTGGTGATGTGCTTCGCTTCAGTGACACGGAGTTCATTAACAATTTTCGCCTACTAGCGCAAAATAGTGACGTTTGTGGCTTGTTGATAACGTGTAGGTCGGATGGATGCGCTTTGGCCGTTCACACTGAAGTCGCATGTCAAAAAATCAGATATGTATCGGTTTTAGGACCACATATCCAAGTGGCCTGGGTCGCATTTGAAAAAATCTGATCTGTGTCGTTCAGACTGACATTAAAAGATCGGATACAGGTCACATAGAAGCCAAAAAATCGGATTTGGGTCACTTCAGGCTGCAGTCTGAACGCAGCCTAAGCTTGATTCATCAGCCAGTTTTACTTTGTGGAAACCGTCTGCCTTCGCAGCATTAGAATTCGTTCGCTCAACGGTAGGCGGGTACTTTTTTTATTTAACCAGTCACTGCTATTTGGTTGTGTAAAGCGCCGCTAATGGGGCTAACTGGTATATTAAGCTTTTCCTAACTCCTGTAGGAAGAAGGGCAATAACATCTTTCCCTTTCATAAAATTCACCAAACATTCTCTTTGTTCCGACTTCAAATCCTCGATCTCTGAAATCATTGCCAACACAGAATGTATGGCTTTTCGCTGATTGGCTGATGGTCGGACTCGCACTTCCGGGGTGTAGTGTATTCTGATTCCTGACCTAGTCACTGGAGAGAAACGAAATTTAGCACCCGCCACATTTCCAAGGAAACAAGTAGACGAGACCCTTCTCTAGGTTTGTGGAGATGCAAGCCCAGTTTTTCAGTGCAATAAACACATCAAAAAAGAAATAAAAATCCAATAAAAATAAAAATGTCAAATAGTTTCATAATGTAGCTTTAAATACAAATCTTACCTACCCTAGCTTTAAGTTCAAAGATGGATAGATTTCACAGATAGGACATCTTTGCTTTGTGGATCTTGTTTTGTACCACTCCAGTCAATCCAAGCCATCAAAACAAACCTGTTGGAGGAGAGAGTGTGTGTGTGTGTCCTTAGTCCGTCCCATTGAAGGCTCTATTGTAATGGATGCTGGCAAGCGTAGCCCTGCCGATGGTTCTCCTCCAGCCCTGGGCCTCACCCTATTGTCCTGCTCCTCTGTGTTAATGGGCCACTGCTACAGTAATACTGAGCAGAGACTTCATTCTGCTTGTGCGTACCTTCATTTTAAGAGTACTTTTCAAGTTAACAGCTCCTTTTGCCTTTAGTTCAGTCGAGATTGGAAATTCCAGGACTGAAATGATCCAAATGATTCTAGTGAAGATGTATAGAGTTTGGAAACACAGTGGAGCACTTCCTGTATCACCACATGACATCGCAAGGTGGACTAGAGTGGACACAGTAGCTCATACATCAATAAAATACTATAATAAAAAAGACCAAAAATAGAAAGAGACTGGTCCATAATGACACAAGTAAAAATAAAAGATAGAAATATAGTCTTCTGTTTGAGAGAAGAGCTCAACAAAACACAACTCCAAGTATGTTTGCTATGAGGAAACAACATTATAATAAAATATGTCAGAAAATAGTGTAATATGGGCTCTTTAAGTATTGGAATCTACTCGTCTTTGGTGCAAAACTTAACCAAGCTAAGTGAATTCACGTTAAGTATTTTGTGACTGACAGTTAATCTTGTACTTATGATTTTCCCTGTTCTGGTTGGAAGACTGTGGATAATAAATCAAGCCTGGTTAAGCACGTACAATGTAGTGGGAATGATGGAGAGAGCGATTTGGAGAAAGAGAGATGGGAATGTGTGAGGTACAATACGCACAGAGGGACGAGGTCTGTTCAGTGAAAGAATTCTGCCTGTGCTCAATTTATTGTTTGTGTCATTTTGGAAAAGTAAAAGCTCTCACTGAAGTCTTTGTTGGATGAGGGATCTGATTTCGAATGCAACCATGTGCGATAATCTGTCACTGTGTGTGTAAAGAAAGACAGGATTTTGTGGAAAGGGTGACTGGACAGACAAATAAGGAGTACGGTACTGAAAATGGATTTGCAAATGAACACATTGTGGTCTTGTGCTCTAGATGAAGTGATTATGCTGCATAGAAATTTCTTCACAAGTAACAGACATGGAATTTTTTACACTGGACACAAATTTGAAATATCTTCCTATGTCAGGTACAAAAGCTACTTTCAGTTTTCTCAACTTTTACAAACATGTGTAGGGCCTGCGGGGCTGCATGATTAGCTGCAATCACTAAACTTGCAATTTGAAAAAATCAGTGGCGGAGTGTGCATTTCACACCCAGGCCTTCAGTAGTGCTCCGTCTGAAATAATCCACTCCTCAATAACTATTTTATGGTTATTAAAGCATTTTATTATACAGAAACACAGCACAGTATAAAGAAGTGTGGATATTCGGAGAAGTGAGGAGAACGGGGTGCGCGGTGCACGGAGAAGAAATGAGGAGCTCTGGGGTGCTAAACCAGGACTAAACCAGAACTAAACCAGGACTGTTTGTCGGGACTGACCCGAAGGTGCACCTGCGTAGACTGTCGGGTGACCGCAGACGAAAGGACCACGCCAGGGCTCCACGCTGCGTGGGGCTTGGCTCCACACGATGCTCCGCGCTGCACGGGGCTCAGTGCGCTGATCGCGCTTTGTGGACACTCTCTCACTCTCTCTCAAGTCCAAGATTAGTCCTGGTGTAATCCTGATTTAGACCTGGTTTAGTCCTGGTTCCACTACAAATGCAGTTTGCTGCTTTGGCTGATTCACTCTCTGACTGTCCAATCAACAGATCTGAATCCGGTGACGTCGTACGCCTGCTAGAAGGCCCTGGTGATACCAACAGCACAACAATCAGAAACGCTATGAAAGAAAGCGGACGGACCATTTGGAATTATTTGATAATAATATAATTAGCATCAGTCTGTGATTCAGATATTTTTTAGGCTAGCAGAGAAGGCCTTGAAGGCCCTGACGCCACTGGAAGAAATCACAATGGTGGCAATTATTTCGGTAATACAATTTACCCTGTTATCACCCAAGTATCCTATCTCCATATGACTCTGCAAACATGAAATGCATTGTGACTTTTCTTTCTCTTTTCAGACAGGATTAAAATGTGCACAGTGAACTGAATCACAAATTACTCAAATAATTAGGGTTGTCATTAGTAGTGTTGTCATAATACTAACTTTTCAAACATGATTTTGATACTAAGGAATAGATTTGATTTAATACTCCTCACAGATTTTGTACCACACTGATATTACAGAACACTATTTGGATTCAGAAAAGGTTATTGTTTGTCCTGTGAATGTGATTTTTTTGCAGTATTGTTGTTTTTTCAATACTGTTTATTCATATCTTATTCTGGAAACTTTTACAACTCTATTACAACTGTTTTTTTGTGTTTTTTTAATTGCTCAATGCTAGTAAGGAAAGTAAATCCTGATTAGAAATAGATGTTTAAATGGATAAATTCTTAAAATGATAATTGTGATTCATAATCTTTATCTTCACAGAGGAAGAGACTGGATTCAATGGTCCAACTTTGACCCAAAGGACTTCCTGCAGGACCTGCGGATGACGCACTTGCCTGTGGAGACTTTTCAGGACATGTTAGAGAAGGCGGACATTGGACACGGATACATGGACAGGCCCTGTCTGAACCCTGCTGACCCCGACTGCCCCCTCACTGCCCCCAACAAGAACTCCACTAAGGTAAGGCCCTCGCTTAGACTCAAAACCCCCAACAGTGACTGGGTTTCAAATAACGTCTAAACAATGATTCTATAGGCATGTGTAGTAGTGATGCAGGAGGGTGAAAGTGCTGTTTCAGTCAAATGCTCATGTTTCTAACAATTATACCTTTTGTATTTTTCTTTTTATGGTCTCTACAGCACTTTAGAAACTGCTTTGTTGATTTGTGGATAAAAATTTGGGGGATTCCTTGTGAAAATTTGTCGCTTTCTAAGACATCTAAGACACATTCCTAACAGCTTGTACATAGAAAATTGTGCTTTTTAATTTTGTCTTGGTTTCTGGTTAATGTCTTTGTAATTACTAGGCCTATCCACATAAAACAAAACTGGACCAAAGCTTAACATCTTCTCTATCAGCAAAATTAAGTAACATAGAGAACAGTAGAAGAGAGCCATAAGATTAAAGCTGCATTACCAACCTCAAATTAAGTATATTTTGTTTGTTTTAGCAATGTGTTTGTAAGAGCTAGAGAACAGTTAAACAGATTTACTCCAGATTTTAATTAGTGAAGTTTGTGGAGCTAATCCCTAAAACATTGTATCATTAAAAATTTGTGGATTTCACTCAAAAGTACAAGATTGTTCATAGAGTTATAATGGCCCTGGTCCAAACATCACACACGTTATTCTTGGATTCAAAAACATCCAATATTTATCCATTTAGTTTTTGTGTAGTACTGTGTCATAATCTCATCCCCACAGTAGAAGGCATTTTTAATTTATGCTTGACAATACTTGAAGGTGTAACTTTTGTGTTGGAGGGTTTGCCACTCATACATTTAATATTGTTACAGGTACGGATGTAACGATAATCGAAATATTGTGATATCTTGTCGTCAAAGTTCTCACAATAATATCGTAGACCATCATAATATATCGAATTACAAGTCTCGTTGCTTAAATTAAGAGTTATGGTGCAGCAATAGCTAAAAAAAAGACTGAAGGAACTACATCGACCATGATCCTTTGCTCCGTTTTGGTGCAAACTACATGAAGAAATAACAGTTCTAAGCACTTTTAATTCTTAGTTCTTTGGGTTAAGTCTTGTCAAGGCATTTTAGAAGGAAAAAGTAGCATATTAACAAAATATCGCAATAAATATCGTACCGTGAGATGTGTATCGTGAAAATATCGTATCGTGAGACTTGGATAGTGTTACACCCCTAGTTACAGGTGTATATTACTCATAAATTCAATGAAAAAATATGAATTCAGGGTAACATCTGCACAGATCTGACCTGTACATTCCTTCCCTGTTACCGTGGTAGTAGATATGCTTAAGGTCACACTGTGGAACATACCAGGCAAAGCAATAACATCTCCATTTTAGACAAACTGGTGGTGGACCTTTAATTGTTATCTTTTTTTTTTTTTTTTACCGTCAACCCTGATCTAGTTTTTGTTTCCTCCACAGCCTCTGGACATAGCTCGCACCCTGACCGGTGGTTGTCACGGCCTGTCCAGGAAGTACATGCACTGGCAGGAGGAGCTGATTGTAGGAGGAACCACCAAGAACGGCAGCGGACCCCTCCTCAGGTAACCCAGCCCCTGTCCGCCCTCCTCCGACTCGTAAACACAGCGTATTCTGGAGCCACTGTGCGTTTTCTGTTCTCTTCATGCTCCCTGAATGTATACATGCCTTGTTGTAAATCTTATAGTCATTAGCAGATTCCAGTGAAATTGTAGAGCTCCAGCTGGCCCTGCTCAGCTCGGACCCTTACCCACTGTAGTGATCTGGAAGGCCCGCTGCTTTGTCCAAATATAAAGTTATTTTAAGGACAGACCCTTAAGTCAAGTGCTGGCAAGGGACGTATAGCTCATAGAACAGACTGCCAGTGCCACACAAGATGGTTGTTTTCAGATTCTTGAATTTCACTCAGATTAGAAGCAAAAACCAGAAGCGGTGGAAAGTACTGTAAGAAATTTAGGCATCTGTACTTTGACTTTTACTTCACTCCATTTGAAAGGTATCTGTACTTTCTATTCCACGCCATTTTTTAGCTGGACTGAAAAGTTAAAGTATTTTTTAATCATTTTCTTAGACTTGCTGACCATGCTGGGGGTTTATTTTTAACATGTTTGTAGTTTGAGCAATATAAAAAATAAAAACGGCTAGAAAAAATATTGATTAAATGGTTTCTGCTGCACAAAATTCAGCACAAATCTTCCAAAAATCTAAATCAGCACATTTGAAGCTTTATAAGAATTCAAAATCTGTGCAAAATACTTTTACTTTTTTCTTTTTAAGTACATTTTTAAAGAGGTACTTTAATTTTTTTTATAAAGTAGATGTTTTCATGTGATACTTAGATTAGATTTAGATTTATTGTCATTGTACAAAATACAACGAAACTTAGAGCAAATCTGTAGCAGTAAAAATGGATAAATATATAGACACATTCTCACATCCATACTAATAAAAACATTAAATAAATAAATAGATGTTTGTATTGGTGTGGATGTGAGAATGTGTCTATATTTATCTATTTTTACTGCTACAGATTTGCTCTGTCAAAGTTTCATTGTATTTTGTACAATGACAATAAATCTAAATCTAATTTAAGTATCACATAAAACAAAAATAAAAACTATCTACTTAAAGGTTGTATGGAGGATTTTTTTTTTTTTTCAAATTGTCAGTGAAAGATTAAAATACCATTACAGAGACGCAGCAGCCTTGTAATTATGATGACCAAAAAAAAAAAGAACGAAAATCTATAAACTGTGGACGTGTTGAGGCCAGATAAACATCAGCCAATAGAAAACGAGGCTCCCTCATTTTCTATTGGCTGTTAGATTGTCAATCAAACTCCCTAGTGTAACTGACTCGTCGGAGCGCGGGGATGACGTGGTTTACGCAGCGGTTCTTAGAGGCATTTTCGAACTGTCGCTTCCTCGCATTTCGCACAAAGTTTTGTCGCGACGGCGGACGAGAATCCACGACCATTTCGCCGCAAAAGAAAGTCCGTTTTTGAGGTCGCTGAAAGAAGAAGAGAAGTGGAAATGTAGCAAAGCCAAACTGAGGTGATTCTTGGAGATCTCGTCCAGCGATGGCGCGACCGAAGCAGACGAAGGGTCTAAAAACTGACGGTCGCTGAATTACTTCTACACAGGAAACTTCAACAGTAATTCTGAATGTGCACAAGGACTGTCGCTGTATTTCTCTTCCCTTAAAAAAATCCTCTATACAACCTTTAAGTAAATATTACATACATCTACTTTAACCCAAATATTCTTTTCCTCTGGTATCTGCACTTTTATTTGACTAATAAAACCGAGTACTTCTTTCACCAGTGGGAATGAGTCTGTAAAAACATCTTTCAGAGACTTTGAACTATGTAATAAATTGTCTGTGGTGTTGTTGGGCTGCAGATCACATCACATAATAATAGGACTGGAGTGTTTAATTGATGCATGTTTATGAGACTGAATAATTGGCGGTGATTGGAAGGGCACAGATGGGCACCCTCGCTTCTGCCAGTTTAACTCGGGGCAATTGGGGCTACAAGAGTCACTTACCACCACCAAGAATGGACGGTAAACAAGCCATGCCAGTTAGCACTCTCTCTCATCTCACAGCAAGAAGGTCCTGGGTTTGATTCTGGTTCAGTACAGGGCCTTTATGTGTGTAGCATAGGGACAGGTAACAATAACCAAAATATCCTGATATCATATCGTCAAAGTTCTTACAATAATGTCGTGGACCATCACAATATATCGAATTACAAGTCTCTTTACTTAAATTAAGAGTTACGGTGCAGCAATAGCTAAGACAGATAGAACTACATAGCTCATGATACTTTGCTTCATTTCAGTGTAGACTACAAGAAGAAATAACAGTTCTAAGTGTTTTTGAGTCTTAGTTATTTGGATTAAATGTGAAGTATCCCTCGAGGAGAAAAATCAGTTTGTTGACTGGACAAAAGTTAGTTTGGTTGAATATGTTTCGCAGCTCATCCAAGCTGCTGACCAGAACTGAAGAAGCAGCGAAACGTATTCAACCAAACTAACTTTTGTCCAGTCGACAAACTGATTTTTCTTCTCTCTTCTTTGGATTAAGTCTTGTCAAGGCTGTTATTGTGATTGTTGTATAATCGGATATTGTTACATCCCTAATTGTGAGCTTTCCCATGATATTGCAATAAATATCGTACCGTGAGATTAAATTAAGGTCAATAAGTTGTATATAAACTGTAGCATTTTGCGAAATTTGTCCATTACTATAAAATATAATATTAAAAAACAATCATGGCAGAAGAATAAGTTCTGTTTATTTCAGTCCTTTTCACTTTTAAAGGTCTTATATTACACAAAATTGACTCTCTTTTGAGCTTTAAGCCATGTTATAATGCTGTTACCCCCCCAAAAACATACCTGGAATTGTGTTTTGTTTCATTTATGGTAAAAATTTTAGACAAATTTGATGATTGAGCAAATGTGAGGTCTGTTTACATCCTCATTAATGATTTAAGAGGCTCAGTTCTGTAATGGTGATTCTTCCATAGTTACACATAGGTCTCTCAGTGCAGACGCTGTGTGTTCTGTGGTTGTGTTTTTGGGGTGGCATGTGCTTGTGTAGCTGCTCTGTCTGCACGCAGAGCCGAGACCTGGCATCCTGCACTTTTTCCTCTGGGTCTTTTTTACATGTTGTTTACAAACTGCCACCATTACCTGATTATCACCTCCAGACAGAGGTCACATTGATAAAGAGAATAACTGCTTAATTTGTGCACCTTTGCTTTAAAAACAACAACAAACACACACAACATGACTACATGGTTTTGAGTCATGATGTATTGTAACTAGGGATGGGCATGATTAGTCGATTAATCGATAATTGATCATTAAGAATTTCATCGATTACGTTCAATTTAATCGACAAACCGAATGTAGGTTGCTGTGCGTAGCGTAGGGTGACCGAACGTCCGTGTCCGGGGACAAACGGGTCCATACATGTAGCTCTCTGCACTCAGAAGGAGCGAGACACAAACAGTTGGTCAGCCTGCAACGTGTCGAAGCGCAAATGCGTATTTAACGATGACTTGTACAAAAAAATACCACGCTTTCCGTTCCGGTCGGGACAAGTGTGAGGCCCCGTGCACAGTGAAGCAGGCACATATGTTTCGGTGTCCAGTGGGAAAAAGCTCACCAGGACACCGAAAACATGAAAAAGTTTTGCCAGGTGAGAGTCGCTCAATGTCGATGACGAGGCCCCACCTTCCGCCCTGTACGGTGTCCTGGTTTTGACAAACGCAAATATGGTCACACTAACCTGTATTTCACTGAGTCGTGCCACATCAGCGCACAAGAGCTGTTTTTTTTTTTATTCGCGTAGTTTATGCAAATTAGTCATGCAGTTTTAAGTTTCATTTCTGTGAGAGTTGCGCAAAGCTGCATTAAACACGTTATAATCTCAAACGGGCTGATGTGGCTCTAGAGTGGCTATAGTTTATATGTCGTAAAGTTGAATTTATTTATTCATAGTAGTGCAGATAGTAATAATAATGATGATAATTTTAATATAAAAACGTTAATGATTAATCGATAATCAATCGTTAATTCTCTCAACGATCGATTAAGAAAATTTTATCAAATGCCCATCCCTAATCGTAACACTCATACATAGTGAAATATATCATTATTGACTGTATATATAAATGGACATAGCTAACCCCCCAGCTGCTGCGTTCCAAATAGTAAGTGTTCATGGGGATGCTTCCGGCTACATCGACTCTGGTTCCAGTTGACTTTACGTTGAGATATTGTCACCCCCTATCCCTGTTACTGCTTCAGTGAGCCTCGTCATTGGTCTTAACCTCTATAACCCCTATAACCCCAAGCATCATGAGCTTCATTTGACTGGAGCTATTATAATTAATCATACAATACCATTTATTTTAATTAAATGAATTTTAGTGGACGGCTTCATCAAATAAAACATACATACAGTTTTAAGCTCAAGCTCTTTTAATGTCGGGAAAAATGTCTTGAAAAAATAAATTGCATTTCATTTCAAAATAGAAGACAAAGGTAAAGTCCCTGTACAAAACTGAGAAGACTAAAGACTAAAGACTGAAGTTAAAGCGCCGTTTTACTTAAAGTTGTTCCCTTTTGAACGTAGTCTACATCTCGTAAAGTTTGCAATAATCTTCCCTTCCTCTGTCACACTCCGTTAGTTCACTTCTTTATACAGTCTATGGTATAGACAACTAAGAATCCGATAACACTGCTGTACAGATCAGAATGTTGAAAATGGTACCAATTTTGTTGTTTAGAATTTATGTGAAATTAGCGTTTAGGAAAGTATCTTATGAATAGTTCATTGCTTCTCAAAACATTTCACAAAAAGTACCACCTTCAGCCTTCTAAGTACAGCCAGATCTAAATCAACCACGTCTAAAACAGGACTATTGATGGTCTAAACAAGGGTTAAACTACATCTAAAATGATATACTAATACTTAATACTTCAGAATACTTAATATATACTAATTCTTATAAAGGACTAACCCAAATGAGGAGACAAATGTGGATTAAATGGTCTCAAAATTCTGCAAGGATTAGCAAAGATATCCACATACCATCAGAAGGAAGAAGCGCCACAGAAGACAAACTTGCTATGTAAATATTCACACAATAGTATAAAGTAATATATTTGTACTCAGTCTTTGCCATACGTCAATCCTAACCAAGACATTCACAAGCATATTTTGCACATTTCTGAACCTGAAGTACTGTTACCTGTAAAACATATTATTTTTGCCAATACCTCTACCACCTACCTTTGACGATTGTGTGTGATTAACACTTTGTCTTTGTGCTCTTCTCAGTGCCCAGGCGTTGCAGACCATGTTCCAGCTTATGACCCCAAAGCAGATGTTTGAGCACTTACGGGACTACGAGCAGGTTTCACACATCAACTGGAACGAGGAGAAGGCTGCAGCCATACTGGAGGCCTGGCAGAGGAAGTACTCCGAGGTAAGAACCAAACTACTACAACATGACACATACGGAAAAGGAGAAAAGTAAAGGCTGTGAAGATGTATACGAAAGACAGGACACAGTGTGGAGTCAGTCCGCTTTATTCCGGGAACAGCAGATCCAGCTATCCCGAGAAACAGATGCACAACTTACACAGAAATACTACAAAACAGACATTTAAAGTGTTGGGAAGGTTACTTTTAAAATGTATTCCCCTACACATTACAGATTACATACCCCAAAATGTAGTTTGTAACGTAATCCATTAAATTACTTAAAGTGAGTAACGTAATCTGAATACTTTGGATTACTTGATATTGTCATGCTTTTTAAAACTACATGGATGTACCAACCACATCCTGAAAATTCTTGTTTGTTCTCTTCAAATTGGTTGTTGAGCCCAAATCTCACATGAACAGGGTTTTGTTTGCTGTAGAGAAGCAAAGACAAAGATGAAGAAGATGTTTTATGTGCTAAAAGACACAAAAAGTTTAGTCTTTCCTTAAGAAGATAAAAAATATTAATGATGGAGAAATGATTTCTTTATGTCCACCCTACTGTTAGGTGTCATATTGTTTAGACCTGGTTTAGACCTGGTTTAGTCCTGGTTTAGTCCTGGTTTAGTCCTGGTTTAGTCCTGGTTTAATCCTAGTTTAGACCTGGTTTAGTCTTGGTTTAATCCTAGTTTAGACCTGGTTTAGACCTGGTTTAGACCTGGTTTAGTCCTGGTTTAGTCTTGGTTTAATCCTAGTTTAGACCTGGTTTAGACCTGGTTTAGTCCTGGTTTAGTCTTGGTTTAATCCTAGTTTAGACCTGGTTTAGACCTGGTTTAGTCCTGGTTTAGTCCTGGTTTAATCCTAGTTTAGACCTGGTTTAGACCTGGTTTAATCCTAGTTTAGACCTGGTTTAGACCTGGTTTAATCCTAGTTTAGACCTGGTTTATTCCTGGTTTAATCCTAGTTTAGAACTGGTTTAGACCTGGTTTAGTCCTGGTTTAGTCCTGGTTTAATCCTAGTTTAGTCCTGGTTTTAGTCCTATCGTAATCCTAGTTTAGACCTGGTTTAGACCTGGTTTACTCCTGGTTTTAGTCCTGGTTTTAGTCCTGGTTTAGTCCTGGTTTAGTCCTGGTTTAGTCCTGGTTTAGTCCTGGTTTAGCCCAAAAGTTGAAAACAGGAAAATACCGCCGTGTAATCCATTTATTTCCACAATTGAAATATATACATGCTTTTTTTTTTTTTGCCCCAAAATGTCACAAAATATTGCTAATAAAGTTTATAATTGACTTTATGGTGAACATTTACAGTACAGTAATAGAGTAATTGTTATTTTCTGTCCCGTACACTGGCCAAGAGGTAACATACGAGGATTTGTGCCAACCTCAGTGTTGTGGATTTGAATCGTGGCAGTAGAAATTTGCTGAATGTCTCTTTCGCCTCTTCATCACCATTTCAAGATATATCTACATGTTATATTTTATTTATTTATTTGTTTATTTATTTCATTCATAAAGTATAAAAAGACATCGAAAGTGTCACAACATCAGACATACAAGAAATGAATGAAAAGGAGCAGAAAGAAGAGAAATCTTATGTTATCTGCCCCATGTTATCTGCCAATTTTTATTTTTTTTATTTCCTTCGGGATCAATAAAATACCTATCTATTTATTCCCTTTTGCTATTTTGTTACAATTATGGTGGCACACATTTTTTTACTTTGAATTTTTTTATCTAATTCAATTTTTTGGAGCTTTTTTTTTTTTTTCATTTTTGACCAGTGTATTTTTACACTGAGTACACTGAGTAACAAAGTCAATTTTAGTTATGCCGCTATAATCCCGGATGTTTTTAAGACTATGCATCATTTCCAAAAGCCAAAATGAATGTAATTACGTTGTTTCATAATCGAGCGGCCCCGTGTTGCTGCGTGGTTAAGGACCAAATCTTTCTTTCTCAATGCAAAGTTAAGAGGGCACAAAGTCACATGTCTGGAATACATTAAGTCCTGAACTCTCCCCCTCTCTCTCTCTCTCTCTCTCTCTCTCTCTCTCTCTCTATCTCGTTCTTTCTCTCTCCATTTATGCCTCTTCTCCCTCTTTAAAATTTTCTGTCCTCTGTCTATCTCTTTTTCTACTCTCTCTCTCTCTCTCTCTTTAGTTATCTGTCTCTGTCTCCCTCCATGTCTCTCTATCTCTCCCCCTCTAACTGACTGCCCCTCTCCCTCCTCTCCCTCTCTCTCTCTCTCCCTCTGTGTCATTCTTTCTCTCTCCATTTATCCCTCTTCTGCCTTTCTCAAATTTTCTGGACCACTCTCTTTTTTTTCCTTCTGTCTATCTCTCTCTCTCTCTACCCCTCTCTGTCTCTAGTTATCTGTTTCTCTCTCTTTCTCTCTCCCTGTCTTTCAATCTCTCTCTCTGCCTCTCTCTCTCTCTCCAGTTATCTCCTCTGTCTCCTTTCTCCTCTCTCTATCTCCTTCTCCATCTCTCTCTCTTCTCTCTCTTCTCTCTCTCTCTCCTCTGCTCTCTCTCTCTCTACCACTCTCACTCTCTCTCTCTCTCTTCTCTTTCTCTCCTCTCTGTCTCTTTCTCTCCTCCCTTTCTCTCCAGTTATCTTTCCTCCTCTCATCTCTCTTCTCTTCTCGTTATCTTAACTCCTCCTCTCTCTTTCTCCAGTTATCTTTCTCTCCATTCTCTGTCTCTCTCTTTCTCTTTCTCTCTCTCTCGTTATCTTTCTAACTCCATCTCTGTCTCTCTCTTTCTCTCCCTCTCTCCAGTTATCTATCTCCCTCCATTTCTCTTTCTTGTTATCTTTCTCTCTCTCTCTCTCTCTCCAGTTATCTTTCTCCTTCCATCTCTCTCTTTCTCTTTCTCTCTCTCTCTCTCGTTATCTTTCTAACTCCATTTCTGTCTCTCTCTCTCTCTCCCTCTCCAGTTATCTTTCTCCTTCCATCTCTCTTTCTCTTTCTCTCCTCTCTCTCTCTCTCTCTCTCTCTCTCTCCAGTTAGCTTTCTCCCTCCATCTCTCTCTCTCTCTCTCTCTCTCTCTCTCTCTCTCCAATTATCTTTCTCCTTCCATCTTTCTCTCTGTCTCTCTTTTTCTCTCTCTCTCGTTCTCCCTCTCTCTGTCTACCACCCCTCTCTCTCCAGTTATTTTTCTCCCCCCTTTCTTTCTCTCTCTCTCTCCCTCTCTCCCTTGTTCTCTATCTACCGCCCCCCCTCTCTCCAGTTATCTGTCTTTCTCTCTCCCTCTCTCTCTACCTCTCTCACACTTCTTCCTCTCTCTGTAGCTTCTCCCTCCAACTCTTCTACCTCTCTCTCTTCTTTCTCCTGCCCTCCTCTCTCTCTCTCTCTCTCTCTCTCTCTCTTCTTTCTCCCTCCATCTTCTCTCTCTCTGTCTCTCTGACTCTCATCCCTCTCTTCTTCTTCTCTCTCCAGTCTATTCTCCCCCCTGTCTCTCTCTCCTTTCTTCTCTCTCTCTTCTCTCTCTCCTCTCTCTCTCTTTCTCTCTCCTTCTCTCTCTCTCTCTCTCTCTTTTCTCTCTACTCTCTCCTCCACTTCTCCTCCTCGTATCTCTCCTCTCTCTCTCTTCTCTCTTTCTCTCTTTCTCTCCCTCCTCTCCACTCACCACACATCCACACACACGTTGAAAAAGTTCACGCACAATCACTTTTCCAGCTGTGGCCCCATTGGTGGCTCTTATGTGACATCATCTGGTCTTTGTTTTGGGGGCCCTAGCCTCTGTTCGACACGGCATGACCCTGTGTGTGTGTGTGTGTGTGTGTGGTGTGTGTGTGTATGTGTGAGCCGCCATTCATCTCTAAGGCTCAAGGAAAAAGGGAAAATCTTAAAAGCCACACTGTATTTACCCAGAGATAATAGCTGCAGTTATTTCAATGGTTCCCTGTCCTGAGATTTTCAAGGAGACAGTGCTCGGCTTAAGTGATATTCTGGAGCGCAATTTTTTTTTGTCGTACTTGTTCCATTAGTAGTTGCTGTAAAGAAGATAAAACCATGGAAATGTTTGGAATAACTTAATAAACAGAACAGAAAGTAATACAAAAATAAAGCGCCTAGAAGACAATCCCCTTGTTCATAAAGCAGGATGTTTTCCATTGAAATCTGATTCTTTGTTGAACACTACTGAGATTTTTAGAAGTGGGTTAAAGTTTTGTTTTGAATATAAAATTGTCAAGAATAACAGGATGCAAAAGCTGTTTTTTAAAATATGTTTTTTTGGGGAGATATTTTATAAACTTCAGCACAGTTTAGATGCATTACCATAACTTTTTAAAATTCTGGATTATTATAGCTTGATTACAAAAAAAAAAACATATAGAAATGTAGTTTTCTCAGTATAGGTTGTATTTATTTTCGAGGTCACTGGTTCTAATTTGTTTTAGATTGCACTTTCCTCTGGTTATTGCAGTTATTCTCATGTAATAAATGCATATAATGACAGCAGTGACTGATCTAGTTCATGTTTGATGTGTCGTTTTTGTATTGAAATATATTGTATAATAACCTAATTTTGCACAATTCCTGTCAAAAAGTACATCACATTCACTAGTGGACTTCTAATTCTCCGTCTCTGTTTCCAGGCCGTTCTGAAGAGTGTGGCAGTGAACTCGTCTCAGAAGGTTTTGACGTTCACCACCACGACTCTGGAAGACATCCTCAGGTCCTTCTCCGACGTCAGTGTGATCCGGGTGGCCAGCGGGTACCTCCTCATGGTAAGAACATATCCATCTTAAATATTGTCCAGTTAATTGCAAACTAAAGTAATGTATGATGTGATAAAACTATCATTTATTTTAAAATGTATTCAAGAAAATTTTATATAATGAATGGAGATGAGTTTAGAGTATGAGAAATATATTCAGTTAAGAGCAATACTACGCAACGTAAAATTAGACGACAAAATAGTTATTCAAGCAAGAGTAGAAATGAACTGAGGAAAAGTAAGTTCTGAGTAATTATATACTGACATAATGTTTAATGTTGAAGCATTATGTAAACAGATAAAGTTATGTGCAATTTCAGGCCTTTCCAAACATTCAGAATAATAAATAAAAAAACATTTCACATGTCAACATATGGTATTTGTTATTGACACAACAAGAAAAGTAAACAAAAGAATTAACTCAAAATTGCTGTTCAAAATAATATTACTCAACTACAAGTAAAATCTGGTGTAATCATACTACAATTTCTTTAAAAACAAAAAGTTATTGATTACTATTACTTCCCTCTGGTAGTATTTAACTTGTGTCTTGCTCTCCCTCCTCAGCTGGTGTATGCGTGCCTCACCATGCTGCGTTGGGACTGTGCTAAGTCCCAGGGGGCCGTGGGGCTTGCCGGGGTCCTCCTGGTCACTCTGTCTGTGGCGGCCGGACTGGGACTCTGCTCTCTCCTGGGAATCTCCTTCAACGCTGCCACTACACAGGTACAAATATAATACTGCGTACATGTGTGACTTCAATGAGTAACTGTAGACATATATGGTTTTCAGTTGTATTGTGTAACTTTTCTGGTGGAGGGTCTTGTCTCCACTGAGATGTTATTGCTTCTGGAGTCTTCAATATTATGGCATTAAACATATCCATATTGTACTTATTTAATTTTGGTTGTTTTGATTTCATAAAAATACCCTGAACACCAAGCATACTTTCTGTGAGCGGGGTTGCTTCTCTAAAGATCTGACCTGTAACTTGACCATTGCCTGGAATGTCCCACAGTGCAGCAATAAACTTAATCTCCAGGGAGACAAGTAGATGACACTACTAGGCCAAGTTACAAGTCAGATTTGTGGAGAGGCAATTCTGCTGTCAGTAAGAATACATGTTTTTCAAGCTATTTTTACAGAAGCCGGGAGGTCTCATAACTAAACTCTAATGCCATAACAAATACAAACTCCACAACACAACAAAAAGCCACAACAAACCAAAAAGCCACAATGGAAGTGACAGTGGGACTCTATTTTCCAACGAACCAAGCGACGGTTAGACAGTGACATTGATCCTGGCCACAAAACAATAAATTACTTTTACTTACGTTTCCAACTTCGTTCACTTCTCCTTTCAATACTTTTCACATTCTTGTTCTTCTTCAACTTTTTCCATTCACTTTCCGCTTAATAAAGTCCCGTGGTCACTTCTATTGTGGCTTTTTGGTTTGTTAATAGTAATAATAAGACATCGGACTTATATACCGCTTTTTTTGGACACTCAAAGACGCTTTACAAAAAAATTAATATTGTTGTGCCGTTTGCATTTGTGTTGTGGCGTTTGTATTTGTTGCGGCGTTTGCATTAAAATAGAGCCACGCGGTCACTTCCGTTGTGGCTTTTTTTGGTTTGTTCTGGCGTTTTGTTATTATGTCACTTTTGTATTTGTCGTGGCGTTTGCATTTGTTATGAGTCCTCCCAGCTTCCATATATTTTTTGCAATAAAGAAACCTGTAATAATGCTGGATACATTAGTTTAATGCCAGACTGTGGAAAATTCAGGCAAAGCAATAACATCTCCATCGGACCATCCATCATGAAAGTTACATAGATTTCACCTAACACCATTTACATACAGTATATTTTCAACAACTACTTTCACTCATTATTAACAACAGTATATCTACACTTTTGTATCCTTGCGTCAGGTTTTGCCCTTCCTGGCCCTCGGCGTGGGGGTAGATGACGTCTTCCTCTTGGCCCATGCCTTCAGTGAGACGGGACAGAACAAGAGGATCCCGTTTGAGGTGAGGAATCGCACCATCAGCCTCCCATCCGCCCCTCTACCACCCCTGTGCTCCCTTATCTCCACCGCAGAGGAATGTGTGAAAGCAAAGCCTGTCTGTGCCTGTGGAGCAGCATCAAACACTCTGTACCACACACTGCAGCTTATCTAAAAGAACGCTAAAATTTGACCGAAGAAAGAGTAACAGTCAACAGCTATGATCAGCATGTTGCTTAAGGGTGGCCGAAATATGGCTAAGACTCAAAATTCATGTAATATTTAGCTTAATGTTGCCTTGAAGAAGTCAAGGTCAAGGGTGTAAGAGTTCACTTTGATTGATTTCGATACTAGGGAAGAGACTTGATACTTAATACCCTTTCCGATGCGACGATGATAATAAAAAACACTCTTTATTTGGACAATAGAATGTAATTTGCAACATTAATTGATCATAGTACTTTCTTTTATGTTACCACGTGGCCTTACATCTGTGTAATCTCTCAGTGGTACAGGTAGGTTCCATAGTGGTCCATGGGCATGTACTAGTCTGTGGTTTTATACTTGTTCCGATACAGATCAAGATGAGTCTAAATCTATTCAGGAAGGGTTCATTTCTATCCTGTAAATCTGACTTTTTAGTATCAATACCTGCACAAATGAGTGCTTTTGACAACCCTAGTTAACACTTAATTAACCATTTGGGAGAGTGGGTAGAGAAATCTGTCTGAAAATAGAGCTGCTATAAAATAAATCTGTGAATCATGATATGACAATCAATCTATTCTGGTAGTTTACAGTGGTTGAACATAATGAAGTAAAAGTATCAGACCAAAAATAATTTCTCTGTGTAATTTTAAATGTAAGGTACCATAGTTTTAGCCTGATTCATCTGCCGGTTTCAATTTGTGGAAACCGTCTGACCTCGCAGCATTAGGATTCATTCACTCGACAATCGGCGGGTACTTTTTTATTTAACCAAATGTTGCTATTTGATCGTGACGTCTGTAATGCGCCAAATCCCGTAGGAAGAAGGGCAGTAACGTCTTTCCCCTTGATAAAAATCACTAAACATTCTCTTTGTTACGGTATTAAATCCTCGATCTCGGGAATCGTTGCCAACACAGAATCTATGGCTCTTCACTGATTGGCTGGTGCCTGGACTTGCACTTTCCGGGATTCTTGCAAACCGTCTAGTGTATTCCGATTCCTGACCTAGTCGCTGGAGAGAAATGAAATTGAGCAGAGGCACTAGGTGGCACCAGTCTAGCTAAGTTTGCAGTGGTTGATCAAATTTGACAAATTTAATAATCAGACCAAAAATTATGTCTATGCTTAATTTTTAATGAATTGTAACATAATGCAATGAACCACCACACTTCTAATATTATCAAACAGCTTTAAACACAAAGAGCAGTTTTTTGTCTGTATAAGTGTGTGTATGTGTGTGTGTACGTGTGCATGTGTGTGTCTGTCTGTCTCCATCACCTCGGCTGTGGTGATGTTTACAGTCTATGGATCACAGTGACTTTTCATCTCCGAGGGGAAAACAGACATGTTTCCTCTTGTTTCTGTCCCTGAGGCTGCTTCTTTCTCCCCCTTCTCTCTCCCTCCTCCTCCCTCCTTTACTATCTTTTTCTGTCTCATTCCCCCATCTCTCCCTAGCTCTCACTTCCTCCTCTTTCCCTCTTTCCTTTTCTATCTTTCCTTCCCTCTCTCTCTCTCTTCCCCTTCTCTCCTCTCTCCCTCAGCTCCATGTCTTCTTTTAGTTTCGTTCTCTCCCTCTCTGTTTCTCTCTTGCTCCCTCTCTGTCTCTTTTGCTCACTCCCGTCTCTCTCCCTTCTTCCCTCTCCCTCCCTCTCTCCTTCCTTTGTGTGTGTGAGATGAAACCTAAACAGAGTCAGACTTGATCTATCCTGTCTGACACACACAAACACTGTCTGTGTGGTCCTGCGTGTCTCCACATATTATCAACACTAGAGGTGCTGAGACGTCCTCTGCAAGTGTCCAAATAGTTGTCCTGAAGTCATGCAAACATAGAATATTCAGAAAAAGGCTACATGAAAGTGAAATTGATTTAAAAAAGAGCCGATTTGGGTTATCCTCCCAACAGGGTTACATAAGGTGATACTTTGGGGTTTAAGTCACAGATGCCTGAACCTCAACCAAGTCATTTACAGGGGCATTTCTAATCTGGTGCCTTTCAACACTAGTGTCTAATTATTGTTATTGGGAGAAACAAACCAACATTTATGGTTCTTATGGGTGGGCGTTATGGCAAAAATAACTTTAGAGTCTACATAAATTTTCAGTTCAGTGTCAACTTGATAAAAAAAAAACAAAAAAAGTTGCTTAGTATTGCTTTGAACAGGTGATATAGTTTAATTTTGTTTATTTGGGCTTATTTCTTTTTACATTTTCTTTACATAGCATACGTCAAAAGGAGTAGGCTGATGCAATTGCTCAAGTGCACTACTCCAGTACTCCCATATAATATAAACTCTTCTTCTTCGTTCAGGCTTGATTGTGATAACCTAAGTACGGTACAGTTTTCAAATATCTTTAAATAAACAAATTGCTGTAGTTGATTGATTGAGATCCATATTATTTCAAAACATCAAGAAAAAAAAGTTCAGATAGGAGAGGAAGTCACGGGGCTTATTGTAAATGATCACTGTAGCCTGTATTTTTTATTGTACGGCTTTGTGCTTTTTAGATGTTAAGTCAATTAATCAGTTGATGGTGTTTTAGTTGACCAAAATTAGTCAACTAGTAATTTCATTTAGATTATAAGGAGTAGAAAGGAGAAGTTAGTGAGTGAATGATGGTTTGGTTTGTCTTGTTATTTAGTTGTAAAAAGGCTGATTAAATTCATGATTCACAAGTGTAATCTGTGTTCGGGTTGCTTGATTATGGAAAAAATCATTATCACAGTGATTTTGGTCATTATTGAAATCACAAGTTATTCAAATGAGTATTTTTTAGGTAAACGATGCATTTATTCAGCATTTCTCTCTCTTAAAAAAACTCTTTTGTTATTGATAATTTACACAAAACTTTCAAAATGAAAATAAATAACAGCTACAAATATGAACCTTAGAGCAGTTTTGAATAAAATATACTTTGAACATTAAATAAGACATAGAAAAACATTAATGTATCCAAAATAAACTATATATCCAGCTGTTCTACAATCTCTACATTTAAAAAATAAAATAAATATACTTAATTATATAAAAAAAAATTGCAAAATAAGCTTACATGAGTTTGGAAATTGTTTGACACACAAATCAAAATTCGATTAACTGCACAGCCTTAATCTGTCTTTATATAAATACATTTTTCCTTGTACTTTTCCCTGCATAAATAGTTCTTTTTGCATGAACTCCCCCTGCAGGTGTAGTCGTGCGAGCGCAGTTTGGGTCAGATACATAGAGCTGCATGATAAGCGCTTTGTGTTGCATTTTTTGTAGGAAAAGCGCTCTATAAATGAAGTTTGATTTGATTTTGATAGTTTTGAGAGCTTTTACCTCACCCTCATTCTTTAGTCAGCTAATCAATCTGCAGGACAAGTGGTCAAACAAGAATTTATACGGTTGATTCCAGCCCTACTGCACAAAATATTTCTCATAAAACACACAATTTATTCACTAACATCCCACTGTATCACCCAAACAACAACCAATTGTCTGTAATGGACTACAATTATGAAACATTTTAGTCTTATGTGTGTCTTACGTGTTTATCTCCCCCCTTTTGTTGTGATTTAAAAACCGTTTTGCAATTTTTTCGAGTAAAGATTTCATTCATCATAAGTAAGTCGTAGTAACTCATCATGCTCCTCCCTGTACTTTCATGTCCTTTGTACTTCAGACAGAGGCAGACACGGGGATTACAGGAGAACACTTGAGGGCTTCCAGAATCTTCACAATCACTGTCAATCACATACGAATTACGATAATTGTACATAATCTGAAGTATTACACATTGGCCGTAGGCTGCTCAAAAGCGTTGGGTTTCATTATTACTTTTCCTTGAAGTCTGTAGATCCAGCTTACTATAGAAAGTTCTTAAGACTCGAGCTGCTCCCTCCCACTGTGAACGTGTGTGATTTATGTCTCGTAATAAAAATCAGACGTGAATGAAAACTGCAACTACCACATTTGAAAACAGTGCAGGTGCCATAGCTGTCTGCCTCCATGATACGCGATATGTTGCAGTTTTTAACTCGTGTTTACATTGGTTTAAGGTGCTGGCTTAGTCTTTTATTCCTCATTTTCTTGTCATCTCATGCTTTGATTGGTGAAAATTTAATCATATAATAAAAAGTTGTAGACTCAGTAAAGGTTGCAACATATTTAAGAAGGCAAATTCTGTATTTTACAAGTTTCGTGCCTTTATTCTGTGAGGTTTTCAATAAAAATTCAAAAAACGTATTGTAAATATTAGCCTTTTTAAACATTTTCTTTCATTGTTTTGATTAAATTTTTTATTTCATTAATTTAAGATAGATATAAAGGAATAATGTTACAAAAATATGAGTGAATGAAACGGTAATAAGAAGTATAACTGGTACTTCTACTGATATTTAAAGTCAACAGTGGAATATTTTAAGTCTCGTCTTATCCCACTTTTTTTCTCTGGCTTTCAACATTGCGTGAGTTGTGTGGTCCTCTGTGTCTTTTATTTGTTTTTCATTAATTTTATTGGTTTTATTGCTATTCTATGGTTTTTGCTCTTATTTTATTTTACTGGTTTTATTGTTTTAAGAGCATTATTGGATTGGAACATGGATCAACCAATACTCAAATTCAAGTGAGACTTTTTCGTGTTGTGGAGGCCATTAAAGACCAAAACATTACGCTAAAGTAATGGTCCTATATTTATGTAACTTGAAACACATTCTCAGATTTGCCTAAGAAGTCTCAACATTATTTTTGCTATGCCCTTATATATAAATGTACATTTTTTTAATCCTTTGTTTTTCTCCAGGATCGGACCGGGGAGTGTCTGAAGAGAACCGGAGCCAGCGTGGCCCTCACCTCCATCAGTAACGTCACAGCCTTCTTCATGGCGGCGCTCATCCCCATCCCAGCGCTCAGAGCGTTCTCCCTCCAGGTACAGTTCAAGTTTACCGTAAATTCCGGACTATAAGCCACTACTTTTTTCTCACACTTTGAACGCTGCGGCAAATAAAACAACGCAGTTAATATATGGATGGATTATTTGTTTGGCACATTACCCATTCATATATACGGTCTATGGTTTGGCAACACAGTGGGTACGTGCAACCTGAGTGCAGAAAACGCCGCTGTCTGTGCAGTTAACACACAGATCTAGGTTTCACATGAAGTTGCTACACTAGCTAATGATATAGTTTATATGTGATATGTGATATATGTGATAAAATAAGTTATGATGCTAAATTAACATTAGTGAAGGGGATACGTCTTTCAAGTATGCGTAAATGACGAGAAGAAACGTCTCAGACTTCAGTAGCTGGACATCCACCTGATCGATAGAATTAGCCCCACCCCCGAGAGAGTTTGAAATCTGCTGAAATCCTCCAAGACACTGACATGATACAGACAGGACAGCGGCTCTTTCTGCAGGAGACATGTGCGGGGAGAGACGGGGGTGATGCGCCGAGGAAGATTCTTGTTTGATTGTGTTTTGAACAGTTATTTTGCGCTTCATGCACACACCCTCCTCATGGAAAACACATGAAGAAACGCAGATGATACAGCTTTTAAGTTAAACGCGATAGATGTGGGTGTGGAGAAGGAAACAGAGCTGCTGCGCGTGAACTCGACATCAGGGAGTCGATGGTGAGACTTTGGCGACAGCAGTGTAACGAACTGACTCAGTGCAAAAAGACGACAAAAGCTTTCAGAGGCGATAAAAGCAGACGGCCCAAACTTGAAAACGTTCTTGAAGACGTGGACACCTGCAGCTTATAAACAATTGTGGCCTAAGTATGTACAATTTTAAAATGTTGTTAAGATTTTGTTGATGCGGCTTATATTCAGGTGCGCTCAATAAATATGGTATTCCTCTCTGAAAAATCTATAACTGACCAACTCCTCACCAATAAACTTCACATCTCTCCACCATATTTTTCACTGGATTCTGGTGAAGGCTAGAGTTTGAATATTTAGAAGTCATTTTAATAGTTAATATAAAGCAACACCCACAACAAATACAAAACAATTTCCCCCCGACCACACACACCGACACAAATTTAGTTAAATAAAGCCAAAGTAATATGGTAGTGCAGCACAAACACACCACTAGGCCCCCTTACATTGATATATTTTGGCCAATTTATAATAAAAATTCCCTCTTTCTCTCTTCCTTCCTTTTTTTTTTTTTTTTTAAATTTTCTCTCATTTTTAAATAAACATTTTTAGTCCTCATTCTTAAACTAATATTATTTTCACCATCATCATTTCCTTTCCTTTATTTTAATTAAAGTGAGTAACACTTATTCATACTTTAATGAATAAAGACAAAGTACGTGATTTTTATTGTCTTAAAAATGTGAAAAACAAAACAAATTCCATAGTTATTCCTCATTTATCTTATTCATTTTTAGCATCGTAATGATTCATTGCAGTACTTACAAGCACATTTCACAACTATCAGAGGACATTAGTTGAAAAGTTAATAGCAACTAACATGCTAACAGCGCACTTCCTGTCTATCACAGTGTAATAAGATGCATATAGTACACAGCTGACTTGTTTTGATCTCTTGGGCAAAATAAAAATCAGGTACAGCGCCTTTACAACTCCAAATCTAACCACAATTGCGGCGCTTGTGTGAAAATTCAATATTTTCCAACATCATGTAACCCCAGCTTTTTCTGTCTTCAAGCTGTACGATATGTGTCTTCGTGATATGCGCAGCTTTCTCTCTTTTCTGGATGTTTTGCGGTTGGCCCAGTGTCTGTGCAGATGTAACAAAATCCCTCTGCATATGGGTGTACTTGGAAATCCTTGGAAAGCACATTTGTTAAGTTGTAATATCTGTGTGGGAGGTTTGAAAAGCAATAGTGTGCAAACTAGAGCATATATTTGTGTGTTAAGGTGGGACAGTCCGGTGGGCCATATGTCAGTAATTATAGACATTACCGCAAAAGGGAAAAAAAACAGGACAGAAAGAGACAGTTTTGACAAAGTACTTCCAATTGTCACCCCCATAGTTGTTATTAAGTCTACACCAGTCAGTCAGGAGCTCAAACTCTTACGCAATATCTCCATGTTATGTAAATACTCAGGTTGAAATGAGTTCACTTTTCGCTGCATAAAAATTGCCTGGTGAAATCTATATGTTTTGGCAGAATTTTTGGGTACTCTGACTTTGCTTGTTGTACAATTATAGTTGGATTTTTGCAGAGAGCCAGTCAGACAATTACAGAAGTGTCTTGTAAAACAGATCTACAACTTGTTTCTCTAAGTGCTAATAAAAACAGGTAACTTTCATATAATTGTAGTTTTACCAATATCCAGCTGTTACACCTTTCTGCTTATAAATCTGTGTATCATTCGTTCATTCGTTTTTTCAGTTTTCAATTTTGTGTTTAAATGAATAATGGAAAAAAATGGACATTTCTTGTTTCTGCGACTTAAACTGCGATGCCAGACTGAACGAGGACTAAACCAGGACTGAACCAGGACTAAAAGCAGACTAAAACAGTACCGGTTTTGTCCTGGTTTAGTCCTGTTTTAGTCCTAAGTGCTGGAACCGACCCGGAGATGAGCCCGCATAGACTGTCAGGTGATCAGGACTGAGACCAGGACCAGACCATGACTGAGACCAAGGACTGAGACTGGGGTCACACCAGGGCTGGGACTGGGACCAGACCGGGACAAGACTGTGATTGAGACTGAGAACGGACCGAGAATGGGACCGGACCGAGAACGGGACCGAGAATGGGACCGGGACCGAGACCGAGAACGGGACCGAGGCCAGGACCGAGGCCAGGACCGAGGCCAGGACCGAGGCCAGGACCGAGGCCAGGACCGAGGCCAGGACCGAGGCCAGGACCGAGGCCAGTTTAGTCCTGGTTCAGCCCTGGTTCAGTCCGTACGTAATCCAAAAGTCCAGCATCGCAGTTTAAGTCACGGAAATGGGAAATGGCCATTATCTGTTTTTTTCATTATTCATTTAAAGAAAAAATCAAAAACTGAAAAAAATGAAAAAAAAAAAGCACCAAGAGAAGTTTAATGCCATATTGTGAATTATTCTCAGCAAAGCAATAACATCTCCATCTCTACACCGCTAAGGAAGTTCCAATCCCCCATCTGTAAAGTTACGTAGTGCACCTTTAAGTGTGAATTCTTTCTGTGGTCCTGTGGCGTCTGCGTACACTTGTGAGGTATCTGTGTTTGTCCCTCACCGTCAGGCTGAGTGCTGGAGCTGCTTTTACAATATGAGCATGTGTGGATGGATGGCTTTAGTGCAGGAGACTGTCAAACATGATCCATTTACCTCATGGGGCTAATCCAGAGCACCCCCCTCCCTCTTTTACCCCCAAACACACACCACCCTCCTCCCCTTTTACCCCCAAACACACGCACTTAAAAACTCGCACATAGCAGGCATTCTCACTCGCGGTTTTGTTTTGCAGAGCCTTAGACACAAGATCGGACTGATAGCATCTTTTATTGAGGAGTGGGATCCAACTGTACGACTACATAACACATCGTAATCAAAACTGTAAATAAGTTGGTGTAATTATCAAATCGCAAATGTCCTTTTATGGTACTTACAATGTAGTATTAGTTTGCCATTTCATCACATATGTTACGGAGGGCTGCAAGAAGACTCGCAATCAAATCGAAATTGCAACTGAGTGACTAAAGCTCAGTTGGTAGAGAGTTTGTCCACTGATCTGAAGGCTCGTGGTTCAAATCCTGCTCTTGATATAAACAATATTGGTTGAGCAGTCAGATCCACTGACCCACAGGTTGGTGGTGTGATTCCTGCTCCCACAGTTGAATGCTGTTGAGTGTCCTTGGGCAAGACAGTTAACCCACCTCGTGTCACTGGTGTATGAATGTGTGTAAATGAGTCAGTGGTTCCTTGATGCAAAGTGCTCTGAGTTAGCCTGATTCATCAGCCAGTTTCACTTCGTGGAAACCGTCTGACCTCGCAGCATTACGAGTAATTCACTTGATGGTAGGCGGGTACATTTTTAAATTGAACAATCGCTGCTATTTGGTCGTGACGTATGTAATGCGCCTCTAACAGGGTTTACTAATATATTAAGCTTTTCCCAAATCTCGTAGGAAGATGGGCAATAACGTCTTTCCCCTTGATAAATTTCACCAAACATTCTCTTTATTCTGTCTTTAAATCCTTGATCTCGGGAATCGTTGCCAACATAGAATGTACGGCTCTCCGCTGATTGGTTGGTGCTTGGACTCGCACTTCCAGGGTTCTTGTAAACCGTCCAGTGCAGGCATGTCCAAACTATGGCCCGGGGGCCAAATGCGACCCTCAGACAAATCTTTCTTGGCCCTCAGGCTTCCAGGTGAATTGGCCCAAATTACCTTGCATCAATTAAAAATTAACTTTTTACTGCAAGTTTTTTTTTTTTATCTACCTTGAGAAAGCTAATATTTAATATTTAGTGTGTGGTTTTAAGGATCTTAGAATGAGCCATCAATCTTTATTCATTTTAACGTGTTAAACATGCACATATTTTAATTATTCACTGTTTTGAGCTCCAGTCTACGGCCCTCGATCAGCCCTCTGCTTCGTCTGTCTTTAGATATATGGCCCTTGATGAAAAAAGTTTGGACACTCCTGGTCTAGTGTATTCCGATTCCTGGCCTAGTCGCTGGAGAGAAATGAAATTGAGTAAAGGCACTAGGTGCCTGACTAGCTCTAAGTGCCCTGAAGGTGGAAAAGTTCTTGACAATTCTTGAAGCTGACATAATTAGCAAACGCTGCAATTTTTTATGTACCAGAACCTGCACAAACAACAAAATATCCTGTCTTATTCTGCAAAAAATCTGCTATCCCTGTAGTTTAGATTTGTACAAACATATTGTGAAAAGTCTTTTTGTTGATTCTTCTAGACACACTTAAAAAATGAACTTCGGAATCCTATTAAGTATTAAAACACAAATCATAAATCTCAAATCTAATCTTACATTTTCCTGAATCGTTCAATGCTAGTGCTTCTGGAGTTGTTTTGCGCTTTGAACAGAATCCTACTTTTGAAACACACCTCGCAAATCCAATCACAATTGCAATACTTAGAAAAATCACAGTTACATTTCTCCTAAAACCATGCAGCTCTATCCAACCACCGATCTCCCATCTCACACATCAACAACAAGCATTTCCTGTACTTGACTCCTCTTTGGATTCACCTCCGCGTTTCCTAATCTTTTCCTCTTTTTCCTCTTGCATCACCGTGAAGTCTGAGGAATGGCGTCCAGATAAGAGCCGAAGCGATGGAACACACACATTCATGTACTCGGGACAGATGTGATGATAAATCTCTCCTCTGCGGGGTCAGCGTGCGGTCGCTCTGTGTGTGTGTGTCTGCAGCCCACTGGACATTACTGGGCCAATTCAGAATTAATAGTTTGTCTTCGCGTAACATCACAACATTTCTAGAATCCCTATAGTTTAAAGGGCCCATATTGCTCTATTTTTGAGTTATGTTGTAATGTTGTTTCATCACAAACGTACATGGAGTAGTGTTTTATTTCATTCTAATCTTACATTTTCTACACGTCTTCAACACACAAATTCTGCATGTTCAGGAGGTGTTCTTTTCTCAAACAGAAAACACTCTGTTCCACCGTGTGATGTCATGTGGTAATTCAGGAAGTGCTCCAATGTGTTTTTAAACTCCATACATCTTCACTAGAATCATTTGGGTGATTTCAGACCTGGAATTGCCAATCTCGACTGAATAAAGTTCAAAGGTAGCTGTTAAACTACCACTACATGACATCATAGGGCTGAATGGAGCATTTTGAGCTTTGGCTAAAATGAAGTAGTTTACATTTATACAAACATATTGTGAAAAGTCTTTTTATTGATTCTTCTAAACACTTTTTAAAAATGAACTCCAGAATTCTGTTACGTATTAAAACACAAATCTCAAATCTTTTCCTGAATAGTTCAGTGTCAGTAGTCAGGCTGGTGCCACCGAGTGCCCCTGCTCAATTTCATTTCTCTTCAGCAACTAAGTCAGGAATCAGAATACAATAGACGGTTTGCGAGAACCCCGGAAGTTGTAGACCGTGCACCGGCCAATCAGCTGTGAAGCCATGACTGGGTCCCTTTTTTTGGTACAGCACAACAGTAAACAAAGCGGTCAAGAAGGATGTAGACGAAGACATACATTCTGTGTTGCCAATGATTCCAGAGATTGAGGATTTAAAGCTGGAACAAAGAGAATGTTTGGTGAATTTTATCAAGAGGAAAGACGTTATTGCCCTTATTCCTACGGGATTTGGTGCATCACATACGTCACAACCAAATAGAGGGGTTTGGTTAAATAAAAAAGTACTCACCCACCGTCGAGTGAACAAATCCTAACTTGGCGAGGTTGGATTGTTTCCACAAAGTGAAACCGGCTGATGAATCAGGCTCCGTGTATGTTTTTGATGAGGTAGCAACAGTATAGCATGGCTTAAAGCTCTCAAAAATCCATTTTGTGTAACGTAGGACCTTTAACATTGAACTGCAGGTCAGAGCTCTGTGGTGGAATTTTCTGTTTAACGGTCGGATTGCAGAGTTGTTGACCTGGTTTATGGTTAATATCTCTGGATTTACTGGACTTATCCACGTGGAATAAAACTGGCACAAGAAAGTGGTGCAATTATTCAATCCAAAAGACGTGAATGTTGACAGTTGAGATTAATATGGCATGTTTGTGGAGCCAATCCCAAACACATAATGATAAGATTTAACATTTGTGGATCATAAGTTTGGATACTTCTTGCAAAAACAGTGAATCTCCAATAGAGTTATATCGAGCAGTGGTCCCAACACTATTGACAACTGGAAAATACCTTTATCTTCTGTTGCTAAAACAGTACTTTTTTTAGTTATTGTAGTTGGCATCTGGAGGTCTCTTGGTATTATTACTTAATTTTGAACCTTATTGACAGTGCCCTCTTGTGTTGGCTGTGTTATGATGAAGGATGAGTTGTATACTGTCTATAGCAAAAGACAAACAACAAAAATGTGCAAATCACTTTTGAAGACAGAAAGAGTGATTTTTTTTTTATTATCATTTTGGTCATTTCATCGGAATTGAGTATGGAGTCTGTTCTTTAGTATCAAAACTGAGTGTGAAATCTTAGTATCGTGACAACACTTCAAGCAGCACCTGTGCAAAGCTGTCATACAAAGTTGTGGTAAAGAAGAAGACAGGAGACGTTTTTACAAAGATACATTTTTTGCAGTGTGAAAGAGTGATGTCTGCTCATCACCTCCGGCTCTGGGCCTCTGCTCCTTGGGTGGTCCGCTGTGTTTTGTGCATGTGTGTAGAAGTGTGTACATGTGTGTAGTAGTGTGCAGTGCTGTGTAGTGGTCTGGCAGCTACGCAACATCCAGATTGTCCTCCAGGCTGGGCCCCAAAGTTCCCCCCAGCCCCCCAGCCTCCAGAGCACCTCCTTGGAATACTTAACCACAACACTGTACTGCCTTCCATTACACACAAACTTCTGGAGAGGACAGGCCTCTCTCTGCACTTCTCACAATTTGAACCCAACTGGAGCAATTTAGGAGGTCCTGGGAGAGTAGAAAGAGTAAAAGGCTTTGTATTCGGCTTCTGCTTGGTGAAACAATGGTGTCTGTGATTTTAAGTAATTATGGTCACTTGGTATTGAGGTTGATGTTATTGTTTGGGGTAGTTTGTGGTTGTATGTGGCATTTATGTTGTATAATGTTGTCAAATTAGTGTGTAAAGTGTACCCTAAAGATGAACAATGTAACTTTTCTGGTAAGGGATTCGCCAGCTGCTTGTTCCCATGGAGATGTTATTGGTTTGTCGAGAAAATTCCACCATATGGCATTGAAGGCATCTATGTTTTCTTTTTCTTCAAAACTACCTTAAAAACATGAAACCTATCCTTCAAATATCAGAGGCTACGTTTATATGATGACGGTCTGAACAGAAAACGCAAAAGTGGCATCGTGTGTTCACTTTTTATTCCACATTTAGACGAGTGTTTTTGGGAGGAAATTTGCGTGCATGCGGTGACACAAAAGTGTGTGGAATTTGATTGAAACCGTGTACGCGATGTGAGCAGATCTGACCAGAGTTTTGCGTCTCGGGCAGTGTAGACAGAAACGCTACAGCGGAGCATGTTCTACTTTTACACTCTGGAGGTTGGTTTCAGATTTTTGCGTTTTTAAGCCACAAAAAAGCCATCACCGTCTCAACAAAAGGCACTTCCGATAAAATATTTTGTCATTTTTCCCCGCAGGCGTTCTCATGTAAACAGACCCAGAGTTAAGAGCCTTTCTTCAGATCTGACCTGTAACTTTGCCTGTTGGTGTCACCTGCTTGTTTCCATGGAAATTGATCAATGTGATGCCATATTGAGGAACATTCCAGGCAAAGCAATAACATCTCCATGAAGCAAGCGAGGTGGCGGACCGTCCAACAGAAAAGTTACATATTCCACCTTTACTTTTACGAGAACATTCAACAATCAAATGTACCTACAATTTCACTTTTGTAGGTTTGATAAAGGCACACGTGTGATTCAGTTCCTGTTTATTTTGGTAAAGCCCAAAACCACAACAGCCCTCACCTCACAAGTCTGAACAAGAATGTTGATTTAACCAAGAGCAAGAGAATTAAAGGACAAGGTAAAGGTCATCCAGCCAGGTTTACAGAGCAGGATCAGGGCACAAGAGAGGAACTGTTGATTTAAAGGTGCACTGCGTAACATTTCTAGTGGAGGGTCTGCCACCTTCTTATCTCCAGGGAAACATTATTGCTTTGTCTAGAATGTCCTAGATTACAGATTAAACAATCTATCGCGAGGGAGATAAGCAGGTTACAGCACTACACTACATTACATTTGGAGAGCCGCAGAAAGAATGATTGTATTTTTGAGCAATACAAACACCCGTTATAAATCTATGCTACATTCCAGGTGAAGCAATAACATCTCCATGGAGACAAGTAAGTAGCGGACCCTTCACCAGAGAAGTTGGGCAATGCACCTTTAAGTTTTGCTGAGAAATTATATGGGTTTGGAGGTTTTGTATCTGACAAAAACCTACATAAACCTAAACTTCAAACTTCTAGACACTATCAAAATCATTTATGTCGTTTGTGCTTTTCAGGCTGCAGTGGTGGTGGTGTTTAACTTTGCCATGGTGCTTCTGATCTTCCCCGCGATACTGAGCATGGACCTGTACAGACGAGAGGACCGGCGCTTTGACATCTTCTGCTGCTTCTACAGGTGGGTCCAAAAACCCAACTGAGCTCCTCTATCCCCCACTGAAGATCCTGCCACACTGCAAGAAACAATGTCTACTTACACACACACATGAGTTCAAATGAGTTGAAGTTCATTTTGAGCTGAATTGATTTGACGAATGTAGTTTATTTTCAGTTTTTCACATTGTTTAAAGATGTTTCATACAGATTTCAGATTCTATATTTATTTCTTGTTTCAAATAAGTAAGCCAGCTTTCAAATTTTGAAGAGTAAGTAGGTATAATAGTATAATAACTAGTTCTAAGTATCTATTACTTGCTTTTTCTTGAGCAAAAACAGGTTTTACTCATTTACTTGAGAAAAAAGTTGGTTAATGCGACTTAACAAAATAACTCAACTAGAAATTTTGCTTGAAACCAGCCAAACATCGCAATTAGCAAATTCTCTAAATAAATCCAAACCAGTCAAAATCATGTGTTTCAGTTTATATGCAACATTTTCAGGACTTTTCCCCAATTCAAAACATATACTAGTTATATTTTGTTTTAAGTTGTTAGTCACTTTGGTAATGTTTCTAATTTTCAACTCTGTTAAACCCGTAGATACCTCATGGATTTCAGTTTTTACAGTGCATAGTCTTGTCCCCACATTAAATCTCTCTTTTATGTTTTCGCATAATCTCTCCACTAACAATGAATCAGTGTAACATACAGACTCTTACTTCCTCTAAATCATAGCCCTAATCCTGCTCAGTCAAAACCTAATTACTCTTTATTAAACTGCACCAGTCCACTGCCAGTCGCGGCATGTTTGTTGGCACAGCGTCTGGACAGATGTGCACTTGTACTATTAAATTCTCCCACTCTGGGTTATATATTTCCTACTGCAGGCATACATCCCATTCACACAAATAACACAGGCCTGATATCATTTTACTGTACTTAATAGTGCTCTCTGTGGCTCAATTCAGTGTGTTTCCATTTTCAGTATGTATCACTGCTCTTTCATGGATCGCTATTCACGTTTGTGGGGATGAAAAATTTGAACTTTTGAAAATACTAAATTCAGTGTGAAAAAATGGTTTAGTTCTCAACGTTACAATGGATTTAAAAGCGCGCTATGTGACTTTTCTGGTAGAAGATGCAGCACCAGCTTGTTGCCTAGGAGCAGCTTTGCCCAGAATGTTACACAGGATGGCCCAAGTTGTACTTATCTAACTACAAATGCTTTTACTGCTCAAAAATACCTGAAAAACATGCGTTATTACTGTGAGGAGGTTGCCTCTCCTTTTCACAGATCTGCCCTTATACCTTATCTGAACTTGGTCTAGTGGTGCCACCTGCCTGTCTCCATGAAGATCTTTAATGCCTTACTGTGGAACATTTCAGAAAAGCAATTAGGCACCATGTAGACAAGTAGCCTTGGTTCATCAGCTGGTTTCACTTCGTGGAAACTGTCTGACTTCACAGCATTAGAATTCGTTTGCTTGATGGTAGGCGAGTACTTTTTTTATTTAACCAATCGCTGCTATTTGGTCGTTATGTATGTAATGCACCTCTAACGGGGCTAAATGGTATATTAAACTTTTCCCAAATTCCGTAGGAAGATGGGCAATAATGTCTTTCCCCTTGATAAAATTCACCAAACATTCTCTTTGTTCCGGCTTTAAATCCTCAATCTTGGGAATCGTTGCCAACACAGAATGTATGGCTCTTCGCTGATTTGCTGGTGCCTGGACTCGCACTTCCGGCATTCTTGCAAACCGTCTAGTGTATTCCGATTCCTGACCTAGTCGCTGGAGAGAAATGAAATTGAGCGGAGGCACTAGGTGGTGCCAGCCTGGCTAGTAGACAAGCAGACTTTTGTCCTTCATGTGCTCCATTTTGAGGACTTCAACATATATTTATTGTTTATTTCTTTGGAAACAATCCTCATTTTTCATCACTTTGAAAACATGCTGCTTCTGTATATTTTAGAAGTATTAAATTACCAATCTAGGAATTTAAATTTGGTTAACATCTCTCTCTCTTTACAGCCCTTGTGCCAACCGGGTGATCCAGATGGAGCCTCAAGCCTACCTGGATGGTTCAGACGGCAGCCACTATAGCCCGCCCCCGATGTACCGGACACCGCCTCCCCTTTACCAAACCCCGCCCCCTAGGTACACCAGCCCGCCCCCCTCGTACAGCAGCCTCGGGTACGCTCAGGAAACGCAGATCACCATGCAATCTACGGTGCAACTCCGCACTGAATACGACCCACGCACGCAGGCCTTCTACACCACCGCCGAACCCTGCTCACAAATCTCCGTACAGCCCATAAACCCTGCCCAGACCCGTACCAACGTGGACTACACCAACAGCAACTTGAACAACAACAACACCAGTAACCGCGGCAACGCCAACTCCTTCTCCCATCACCATCCAACCGGGGGCGCGAGTTTTAGCTGCGCACCAGGACCTCAGCCCGACACGGTGTCTACAGGGAACAGTGTGGAGAATAACAGCTCCACGCGAGATCTCATATCGCATTTTGGTGATGCCTCCATGGGGTTGAGATGTATTGAAACTCCCTGCTCTGGTTGGACATTCGCCTCTTTTGCTGAAAACCACTACGCTCCATTTCTGTTGCAGCCTACCACCAAGGTGAGTGACTCAGGGTGACTCAGGGAGTGTTTGTGGTTAGATCTTTCTGAGTCAAACACTTAACACGGATTCAGTCTGACCTCAGTTATATGGGTGGCCAGATGTCACACAAACAATAGTTATATCTTTAAAGCTGCTCTATGTAACTTTTCTTGTGGGGAACCTGCTACCTGGTTGTCTTCATGGAGATGCTCTTGCTTGGCTGTAATATTAAGAGTAGAGCAACAGACTTGTCTATCTTGATATTATTTAGTCAATTACAAGTGCGGTTAAAGTGGTACCTCTCCACAGATCTGACCCATAATTTAGCTTGGTGGCATAACTTGCTTGTCTCTGTTGAGGTAGATAAGTTTAATGCCATACTGGGGAACATTTGAAGCAAATACATCTCCATGGAGATGGCAGACCCTCCACCAGAGGCATTGCATACTTCACCTGTAATCTAGATCAGTTGTTGTAACTTTTTTTCTGGGTTCCCATATTTTAAAAGTCACAAACCTTAGACATTATTCATAAATCACAAAATAAAGTTGGATTTGACCATTATTAAACATTAATGAAGATATTTTATTGTTGACTGAGTGATCGTGTCTCTCAGAACAATTAGTATTACTCAAGTTTTAAAACAAGCGACCCCAAAAAAATCTCTTGCGACCCACCTGACCCAGGCTTTGGAAAACAATAATCTAGATATTTGTTTCTGTTGTGATTGTAGAATGTTTTTAACCGGTAGAAGTAGAAATGTCACAGCTCCTCTTTATGATTACATTCTAACTCGTGTCTCGTTGTTGTTTTTTTCAGATTGTGGTGATCGTTCTCTTCGTGTGTCTTCTGGGCATCAGTCTGTACGGTACCACTCAGGTCCGAGACGGGCTGGAGCTCACGGACATTGTGCCGAAGGGGACCAGTGAATACGACTTCATTGGGGCCCAATTTAAGTTCTTCTCCTTCTATAACATGTATGTGGTGACTCAGCGTGCAGACTACGCACAGAAACAGTCTCTCCTGTACCAGCTGCACCAGAGGTTTCACACTGTGCGCCACATTCTCAAAGAGGACAATGGAGACCTGCCCCGTATGTGGCTGCACTACTTCAGAGACTGGCTACAAGGTAACGTCATCTCATGTGTCTATGATAATTCCTTGCTTTTGAAAGCTATGTAACAGTACAATTATTTTCAAAGTTCAGACAATTTGTGGTTAATTTGTGTTTTTTCATATCACCCAGAGTCTCATATTATTCAACCACAGTTTTCATTTAGTTTTATTTAAAAATAAAGACTTTTGACCATCGCCATTTAACACATAAAATACTTATTCTCCAAAGTCTGAAATCCAGACCACATGCTTTTACTGACAAAGGATTGTTTGTTGACCTCTCAGTAATAAAGACACAAGCTGATCTTTTACAATTAGAAATTAATTTCTCTTAATTTCACAGGCCTGGCTAAACCTGAACTATTAGAACTGAAGACACATATACTGTCATATATCTGTTTTTGTGTATTTGTTGACATCACTATGCTCCCACTTCTTTACCACCTCTTACATATTTGATCTATGCCATTGCCAACATGCAAAGCATTATAAACTCCTGTTATCCATATGGCCTCCTTATGGCCAACAACTTGAGTGTACATGTTGTGTGTCTTTTGTTTGTCTTTCAGTGCAGCCATAAACCAAAGTATAAGGTTGCTAAAGTAAGGTTTTCTTTCAACACTATAAAAGTTGCTGTGAAGGGTACTTATGTATGATTTGTTAGCCTTTATTTGCGTAAAATATTTTTCTATTGATACCACACATTGCCGAGGGACAGTAAAGAATGTGGTTAAACTCTGTTCCCATGAAGCTTCTTTGAGATAATACTTTTGGTTTGTGTTTTGACATTATTGTGCAGGAAACAAGATGTTGGGCCTGGGTTCAGCTGTGGGAGGGAGTCCATAATGGACACTGACAGTAGCTGATTAGGATCAGTTGTCTTAAAAGAGCAGAAGCACAAAGTGGGAGGTTATTGGACACCAGGCCTGAGGCGGAGCAGGAGACAGTCAGAGCAGTGTTTTTGTACATGTGTGGATACTTTTAAAGGGCCCATGTTACTCTTTTTTCTGATCTATATTATAATGTTGTTTCCTTGTCGAACAGACCTTGGGGTTTGTTGTATTCACACGTTTAACACAAAAAAGCAGCGTATTTTGGCTGAACTAAAATTCTCAAACTTGCTCCACTGTGATTTCAAACTCAATGGTGCAATAACTATGGAGATATGGAGAGGCTTGTAATACCCAGTGGAAAAGTTACATAGTGCGCTTTTAACTCAATAATCCATATCAGTTAAAAATAACATACACACACTTTAACTATCCTACTTTAGCCGAGCTTTGGGTTTTCTTTGACACATGTTTGACTAGTAAATCAAGACATATACACTTTTGTTTTAATATAACTGAAATTGTTGTGTCAAAAACTATATTAAAATAGCCCATTTATAATATCACTATCACAATGTAAAACTGAGTTATCGAAGATCACATCTTTTTCTCATATCAAGTCCTAATTTATGAAGTTTTACTTGAGTCAGTGGTTAAATATGCCATTATATTCTATGTCACACTTCATATTTCCTAATGACATGTCAAAACTCTGCCAGATAGTAAAAGCTTGAATGATTAAAGGATTGTGGAGGGACAGTGTGTTTAACCACACAGGGAGTTTGTGGGTGCGAGAGAAGGAGCAGTCTCTGATATTATTCTCTGGGATGCTGGGACAAATTGGAGCCAGGCAGGCCAAGGAACCAGACCCAAAACAACATCTACCACAGCATGGGCCTTGGGGGAGAGCTATAAGGAGGGGGGACCAACGCACATGTTCCTCATATATTCCCCAGTGAATCAAAAAACAGTAGATTTAAGCTCTTTTGAAGTCGTGCACAGTGCTTGACAATGGAGCTAAGTTATCATATTAAACAAATCAGGCTTGTTATAGAGAATAGGCGAATATAGGCTTTGGAGCTGGTCTGTAAAATGTATGACAAATGACAACAACAAGGTATGGAGCGCTAAGTGGTCCCATGTAAGTAATGTGTCATGTTTTGATTGGTTACAGGGCTACAGCGAGCTTTCGACAGAGACTGGATGGCAGGCCGGATCACCCAGTTAAACTATAAGAACGCGTCTGATGATGGAGTTTTGGCGTATAAGCTTCTAGTCCAGACCGGCCGCAAAGAGAAACCCATTAACTTCAGCCAGGTGGGACATTTTTTATACTTTTTTATTTTTGTTGATACATTTTTGGACAGGTGATTGTATAAAAAAGCATGTTTGGAGGTAACAACATTATAACATGGCTAAAAATTTGCAAATACTCAATGTCACGTAATATAGAACCTTTACATCCTACAAAGCTCTTCATTCATCATAAACTTACCTCTGTATAGCATTTAAAGAGCTAAAGTTGGTAAAATTGGGATTTTATATTTCATGACCTGACTTGATCTGTGTCCCTAGATGCATAAACATGTTCAGATCAAATACAGCTTTTACTGGTAACAATTGTAATGATGATTTATTCTTCACTGCAAAAACATTGGACATGATGGTGAAGTTGTTTGTTATAATTTGTTTTTGGTGTTTTGTTTCTCAAGATGATTATCTAACCAGAAATGCCTCAAATGAATCTCACATTTGGGTTGCTAGTTCCAATGTGTTGTTTGGATTTTTATTTTTATTTTTTTAGTCTTTGTGTTAGCCCTTCTTTGTTACAGTTACATAACAGTCCTCTTCACGAGCAGCATATTTTAAAGGTCTTTTTTTACTAAAAATTTATTCTCGCGAGCTTTAAACCTTATTAGAATGTTATCTCCTTAAAAACATACCTGGAGTTGTGTCTTGTTTCATTCTCACATGTTTGAATAATCCTTTATTATCAGATTTACAGACCTTAAATTGCTTTGTCCCACCTTGCAAAGTCATGAAGCAGTAGTTACCTTTTGCGAAGTAGAGATGGGAAAAGCCAGAGCTGAAATTATCTAAATGATCCTGGAAAAGGAGTATGGAGTGGAGCACTTCCTGTATTACCACATATCATCACAATGGCCACGTTTACATGATGTTTCTTAATAGCGAATGAATTGTTCTGAATTAAATAGTTTGAAATTAAAACGGAATTAACGTGGAAATAATAATTCTGAATTGAGGTTTACATGGAAAACATGTTAAATCAACTTTATTTAATTCCGCTCAACGTCTGGGTGTCTGGAAGTGTTCTAATTGGACAGGGGGTGCACAAATGTATTTACGTCTGCCAGGAGTAAACACATACTTCAGCTGCTACTGGCTTTTTGTTGTCTCTGTTTGTTGTTACGCCACAGACACAAACATGATACAAACTTTTTTCTCATTTATTCCAATGATAATTAAGTAGCAGCTCGAGAATTCTCTCATCACACTTTACGTCTGTCAGATGAGGAGGAGAAGGGAGGAAGAAGACAAACTGAATCAGCGGCTGCTCTACCTCAGCCCTCTGCCGCATCCCGCTCGCAAATCCTAAGAGCAGTGGATGAAAGTCCGAAGTGAGGACTGGTGGAGCTGAATTGTCCAGATCATGTCAGAAGGGCGACCCAACGAGCATGCGCTGAATGACCGGAATTATTTTTAAGAAGAATAAACATTTACATCATCAAGGAATAAATTAATTCGGCTTTACAGTCGGAATAAACCACCCACTTACTTAAGTTTAATTCCGAATAATCATTTTCATTAGGAATTAAGTGTTTACATGGTATTTTTAAAACAGAATTAATTTTTATTCAGAATTAAATTATTTTTATTCGGAATTAAAGCTAAAAGTGGCAAATGTGGAATGTTTTCAGTTTGAAAACAAACAAAAAAACAGCGTAAATATGCAAGGTTTGTGTGTTAGACATGTATGAATGAAACAAAACACAACTCCAAGGTATGTTTTTGATGAAGAAACATTATGACATAGATCAGAAAATAGCGCACTAGTGGCCCTTTAATATATGCATCCTGACAGATTGAAAGACCTGAGCTAGAGTCCTCTGTCATCTCTTCATATCCAGCCATAATAAAATGATTTGTGCTTAGGATCTTTAAAACCACACCCAGATTATAAACACATTTTTTTTCTTCTGCTTTCTATCTATCTGTACCTTCTGTCTTTGACCTTATGCAGCCCAGGAATTTAAACTCACTAGAGCTGCTTGGCTTCTGAAAAAGAGATTATCTTTATTTGAACCAGTTGTCCCATTTGGCCGATATGTCTCTTGTGCACTGTGTGAAGCATGCACTAACACAGACAACAGCTCTGTGAATGGATTACTGGAAACCACAACTAGCAATGTCACAATATCAAATGACCATCTCCAAACAATAGTGAAATCTTATGTTTTCTTTGCCTTTGTCTAATATTACACATTACCACTCCTGTAGACTAATATATGAAAAATAAAAGGTCTTTAATAATTTTTGTACTTCCTTGATTATATTTTGAGAATATCGGCGATGATCCATGAAAATTTGCTGTATCGGATATCGGCTCCAAAAGTTCAATTGTGCCAATATCCTGGTTGGACATATAAATAGCCGTAGTTGGCCCATATTGTCCAACGTTTGAGCTTTTAATACAACTTAAGTAAGATTTATACATCACACATTTTGACGTACAGTATTTTTGTTTTTTAGGAAAATAAAGTCTATTTTTAGTCCTTACACTGGCACTGGTTATTATCAAGTCTTATTACTAATATAATATAATGTTATGGTAAGATATGCTTTGTTTTGAATAGCCATCCACAGCCACCCAAATAAGCAGCCAGAGTGAAGGAGCAGGTTAGGGTGCTCCAACGCTAAAGCCTTTACCCTTTACCCTTTGCATTATGAAAACATAAAACAAAAAATGTTTTTTATTGTTTCACATGTCAAAACTTGAATTCACATGCCAGCCACAGCTGCAGTCACTTATTTTTTATAAATTGGTAAAATGGAAATCAAAAAAATAAGACATGTTGAAAAAAAATCCATAATGCAAAACAGGAAGCACCATCCTGTACAGAGTGGCTCTTGTTTTGATTTTCTGATCTATGTTATAATGTTGTATCCACATTAATCCTCATCCTCATTTTGCATAGGACATTTAATCAGTACTATTGATTAATCAACTAATCTTGACTCCCCCAAGTACAGCACAGTTCATCTAGTTGTCTTTACTTTAGTATAGTGTTGTCACAATACTGAAATTTCAAACTCTATTTCGATACTAATGAACAGATTCAATACACAAAACTCAATATCAGTTTTGATACCCAGATAATAATTTCATAAGCTCTTTTTTTTAGAAACATTTTAATTTTCAACACAAAATAATAATATTTGTTTTTGTACCATGTTGTCTTACACTAGTTCTGATAAAACTTCAAGATGAAACTGTTCAGGAAAGGAAAAAAATTTATCCAGTTATGTGATTTTTATTATTTTTTTTATTTTATTATTATAATTTTTTTCACTATCAATAATTGTTTAAATGAGTATCTAGTTTCAGTACTAGTTATAGTACTGATTAGTCTCTGATTTTTGATACTTTTAACAACCTAAAGACTACCTCCTTCCCATTTACATATCTGTATCTTGGCTGCCTTTTTTGCCTCCCCTCTCCTGTCAGCTCAGCCTACAGGAAGTAGACTGCGGCCTCGGTGTGCGGTCTGTGACGCCACTTCCTGTGTCTGTGTTGCCGTGCTGTTGCCGTGAGACAGTGACAGCCTGAAGACATACAGTTGTTGCGTATCCCACTGCCAAATTCAAGCCAGACCCTGTAGACTGGCCCCATCCCTCTCCAGAGCTGTGTCCGCTTTCAATGAAACACGTGGTGGACCAGCTCAGCTCTGCGTGCGGGTGGGACCGTAGTAGCTGTTTTTGGGCCCTAAATGAAGACCAGACCTTTTCCAAGCCTGGCAAATTACAGAGCGAGATGTTTTATTTTGATATGCCACTCCACAGATCTGTGCTGAGGTGTTCTGCTTTTGATCCTCTGCTGTTAACATTTTCTTTTTCTTTTTTTTCTGTCAGCCATTTGTTCCATATGTGTCGATTTGAAATAGTCATTTGCGCTGAAATAGGTTACAGCGTTGTTTTGTTTGGCTTTTATTGCAGAAAATATCGGTTGTTTTTATTTGTTACTCAGAATAGCTTTTGGCAGTGAGAGACAAGCAGGTTTTAAGACAAGCGATAAAGCGAAATGCAGCTTAAAGGTACACTGTGTAACTTTTCTGGTGGATGGTTTGTTGCTGTTTGTCTCCATGGAGATGTTATTGCTTTGTCTGGCATGTTCCACAGTATGACATTGGACTTATCTATTTCGTATTTGTTCAATTGCACATGTTATGCTCAAAAATCACTTTAAAAACCTGCTTTCTTACTCTCACTGGGCTTGCTTCTCCACAGATATGACCTGTAATTTGTAACCTGGTCTGTCTCCATGGCGATAAATGAGCTTAATGCCAATCTGTGCAACAATATTGATAAAGCAATGCCATTTTTAAGGATACAAAAACGGGTATAGCGAACCCTCCAGCAGAAAAGTTACATATTGTGTCTTTAAACTGACACTGCAATCGAGAGACTGTGCTATTGCTATCAGCTGCTTGTTCTGGTCAGGCCCTCTGTGGCGCCGGGCATTCTGGGTACTCCTAGGTAGCCACATTTGTACAGATGTTGTGTTATTTTTATAGCTCTACTCCATTTGCTGGGTGGCATTTCCTTCAGTGTTAACAACCAGGTTAACTGCACACAGACTCAGGGCTCCAGCCAATTTTTTTATTGTTAACTGAAGCGATTTTTCCTTTTTCCTCGCCCCCGTCCCAAAATCACAGTCCGTTCTCCCTCTTCTCCTCTCCCGTCTCCCCTCGCTCCCCCTGGTCCTGGGTCCCGGCCTCACGAGCCTGAGCAGAGGCCGATTTATGGCCCGCAGACGGAGGAGTGGCAGAGGCTGTAACGCTTAAGCTCTGGGGCTCCACCTGGGAGGGCCTGTCTGTACCTACACCAGCCTCCACTCACCGCACATACTTCACTATTAGTCACTATTAAGATTTAATCCAACTGCTGTGTCGTAATTGATCAGTGCAGTAGATTAAAAGTTGCTCTACACTACCGGTCAAAAGACTTAGAACACCCTAATTTTTCCAGTTATTTATTGCAATTCAAGTCGTGCAAGTCCAATGAAGAGCTTGAAATAGTAAAAAGGTAAGAACTGAACAGCCAGAGGTTTAAATAAAGGTAAAAGATAACAAAACACAAGTACAAGCTCTGTCAAAACTGCCTAAAGAACAAGATGGTAAACTTGAAAACATGGAGTGTCCAGCACAGTCTCCAGACTTAAACCTCATCGAGCTGGTTTGGGATGAACTGGACAGAAGAGTGAAAGTCCGAGCAACCTACAAGTGCCACACATTTATGAGAACTTCTGCAACAGACTTGGGAAGAACTTTCTGAAGAATATTTGATTTCTAATGTAGAAAGAATGCCACGAGTGTGTTCAGCTGTTGTATCTGCCAAAGGTGGACACTTTAAATCAAATGTTAAGAATATATCCATGATTTCTTTTTTCAGCTTATTTATTCTATGTAGCGTTGGGTGGTATCTAAATTTTGATACAGTTAAACCTTCTCAGCATTTTACTGGGGTATATGGTATAACCGTATTACCAAACTGTTTTAGTACGACTTTAGTAAGATACCAAGCCGTACTGCTATATGGTCTATGCGTATGACCTGCAGACTTATAATCTCTAAAAAGTTTCACATGAACCATTTCTAACGCGATACACGCACAAAACAGACTCACCATCAGCCACACATCCTCTGTCGCAGAAAGAACACACATAATCCACTGAGTTGTGTCTTTTAGTCCGACAGAAGCTGAACCGCATCACCGCACACAAGGAAAGAACTGTTTTTATCGGCGCTTTTTCGTTTCTGTAAAATGTAAACAAATGTGCGCCTGAAGCCAAAATGCTTCCAAATTGCAGCATTTTTTTGGAGACCAACTCACTTGGGTCCTGACTTGCCATCTTGCCTTGGTCTCCCTTATGAGCGGTCATGTGACAACGGAACGAAAATAATCAAACGTCCTCTTCCCACGCAGTTACAAGAAACATTATAGACATTATTAGTTTTAAATCGTCATAGCATTAAATTGAAAATACAACCACACATTCATTTGTGCTCAGCAAACAAATTTAGGTATCAATAAATTATAATATTATGTTAGGTCCTTATGCACTGCAGATTTTTTAAATGACAGTAATGCAACTGATACCGTTCCTACTTTTTGATACTGCGGGATACTGTAATACCGTATTACAACCCACCCCTAATTCTGTGCTTTCATTTTAGAGTGCAATGACGCAATAAACAGTAAAAAACTGGGAAAAGTGTGGTGTTCTAAAACTTTTGACTGGTACTGTATGTGTTTTTTTGTTGTGGAGATAGTACAGTATGGTATCTATCTCATCTATCTTGCATTCAGTTATCGTGTTTTAATAGTTAGAAAAGTGAGATCGATCTGACCTGAGACTTGGGTAGTGACGTGTGATAGATGAGTTTAATGGCTCACTCTGGAACATCCCAGGCAGTGAAATAACATCCCCATGGAGACAACCAGGAAAGGAATAAATGAGCTTTAATAATATAAATATACTTTTTGTTCAGTTTTTTGTTTTGAAATGTTAATTGCCATGACATCAGTGCAATTTTTTCATTACTTTTGTCATTACTGTGAAACCCATGGATAGACAATACAACATTAATTACTTGATTCCCAAAACCATTATACTACTAGACGGTTCATTCACATTTTAGGTTACGTTTCAAAACACACATTCAGCCAAATTGTGAAAGATATATTATTTGTTTTCAATCGTTAGCCGCTGTGCCAACGGTACTAAAACCTATGTATAGCTGAAAACCATATTACACAGTTAATTCACATTTCAGGTTCGGTTCCAGAGCACATATTCAGCACAATCGTATAAAAAAGTAAAAGAAACAGGTCTCGAGGCGCCCTCCGACCAAACGGCTCGGAGCGGTCAGGGTTTGGGACGCGAGGCTGGCCCTGCTCTATCTGGTGCATGTAAAGGGAGAAGCTGATTCAACAGTTTCCATGTTTTAATGTGGCATGATAATTCTGGGAAGCTGCTACGACCAGTGCGGGAATGTTCAGAAAGGCTACCAGTGTTGGGTCTGTTGATTTTTCTTTGGTTGGAAAGAGAGACCGGCAAATATTTGAGTCTTATTTTGAAAGCTGTAGCGTTCGTGTATAAATAAGCTCACCTGTTTTGCTTTGACATGTCCACAATGCGTTTCCAGGTCCAGTGTATACATCTATGACCACAATATCATTTTTTCACAGCCACCCGATCTTTTAATTATTCTAACTTAATTGCGCCGTTTCCTCTTACTAATTTCCGAATTTCAGAACTTGGCTTTGTGTACTGTAAATGAGCTGTAATGGAGTCACTGTGTGTCTGTGTTGATTCTTGTAACCAAAACTTTAAGTGGCACAATGTAACTTTTCTGGAGGAGGATATGCTACCTACTTGTTTCCATGATGTTACTGAAGTACCTAAAATGTTCCAAAGTATGCCATTAAACATATTTCTCCATGGAGACCAGCAGGAAACATCAACAGTCAAAGTTTATGTCATATCTGCGGAGAGGCAACCCTTCTCAGAGTAACAATATAGGATTTTCAAGGTGTTTTTCAGCAAGAAAACACCTCTAATTGTCATGAGTTTAGCAGAGGTGGGACTTGCAATTCGTGACTTGGACTCGAGTCAGACTTGAGCCACTATTTTTAGGACTTGAGACTTGACTTGATAAAATGGACTAAGTCTTGGGACTCGACTTGGACTTGTAGGTCAGTGACTTGAGATTTGACTTGGATTGGAAGCCTGTGACTTGAAGACTTGAGGAGCACTCTTAAATCTGAATTCTTTCTTTTCTGACTGTAATGTTTCACACTAAGATCTTGTCAAGACATTTAAAAAGAAAAAAAAAACACTAAATTAAATTCTATACAACTCTTATATACTCTATAAATACTCAAATATAAATATACTCAGATTTTTTTAAGTGCAATTTATCTTAAAAGTTATATAAATTGCAAAAATCAAAGCAATACTTGGTACTTTGATTTAAAGAGTTGAAATGACTTGAAGCTCAAAGCAGACGACTTGGATTTGAATTGGACTTATGGGTCAGTGACTCAAGATTCGACTTGGACTTGTATTTGACTTAGGACTTGACTCAGACTTGAGGTCAAAGACTTGAGACGTACTTGAGACTTGCAAAACAACGACTTGGTCCCACCTCTGGAGTTTAGTACTAGTACTAGTAGTTTGTCCAATGATCCGAAGGTGGGTGCTTGGAAACCCGCTCTCAACATAAACATTATTATTAGAGTGATCAGATCAGCAGGCTAATGGTGCAATTCCAGCTCCCACAGATGAACACTGCTGTTGTGTCCTTGGGCAAGAAAATGAACACACCTTGCCCTCAGTGTCTGCGTACATTGGTGTATGAATGTGTGTGTGAAGGCATGAGTGTTTCCTTGATCCAAAGCAAAATAATGCGGCACAGGACACATTTTGAAAACTCATGCGGGAGCGGGAGTGCACATTGCAGGAGTGGGCCGGTGAGATGATAAACTGCAGTCCCGCAAACTAAATATGAGTGTAAAGTAAAACATTCAAATGGTTAATGTTTGCCTATCATGCATAATTTGTGCTGGTTATTTTATTTGGCATTAATAAAAATCATTTTAAGCAGCCTAAATTTGTGGATGTGGTCTAATCTCGCACACATTTTTAGACAATTCCTTTCCACCTCTTCATGTTTGATAGAGTTTAAGAAAGCGAACGTCCCCATCTTGCGGGATTTGTGGGCGGGGGTGGGAATGAAAATTACAATTCTTTGCAGATGTGGGCACGGGCGGGAGCGGGACCGAAAATTCTGTCCTGTGCAGACTTCTACCTTGAGCTAAAGTGCTTTGAGTGTCTTGAAGGTGGAAAAGTGACCATTTATTAAGACAAAAAAAATGAGTAGAGGACCTTTAATGAAACAAGATAACTTATCCTCACCAGAAAAGTTCCACAGTGTGCCTTTATAAATATGTTTTGGTTGAGTTATTAAATCCTTTCTGTTTTACCTTTTCAGCTGACTCGACAAAGGCTTGTGGACGCAGATGGCATAATTAACCCCAGAGCTTTTTATATCTACCTAACTGCTTGGGTCAGCAACGATCCAGTGGCCTACGCCGCATCCCAGGCCAACCTCCGGCCCCACCCCCCAGAGTGGATCCACGACCCGACCGACTCCATGCGCGAAACACGCCTCAGCAGTAAGCCATGGGGCACTTTGACTAATGGGACAGTGGGCAGTCTGAGAACTCAGTATGCTGTAGTTTGTGTTGGAAGGTTTTACTGAATGGGAAGAGAATGAGACTGTTTTTGCTTCATTAAGAAATATGTCTGGCTACGTAGGTTAATGGACTGTTTGCTCTAAGTCTTATTTAAAACAGACGGGGTAATGCTTTTGAGCTTCACATCGGGATGTGCAATGATAACAGTTTAAGTCATGACTGTAATTATTGTAATGTGGTTACCTCCTCAAACACATACCCATAGTTGTGCTTTGTTTGAAGTTTAAGTAATCCTCCAGTATTAGTCTGTCTAAATCTCCAAAGCTCAAAATACTCCTTGAGATGTCATGAAACCATTGTTTTTTTTAAAGTTACGTTTTACATTTAGTTCAGTAGAGATTATAGGGCTAAAATTATTATTATGATTGTAGTGAAGGTGTATGGAGTTTAAAAACACACACACTTACCACGTTAACATGAAAGCTTTAATTCCAAATAAAAATAATTTAATTCAGAATAAAGGTTAATTTAGCTTTAAAAAGACCATGTAAACACTGACAAAATGATTCGGAATTAAACCTAATTTCGTAAGTAAGTGGGTGGTTTATTCTGATTTTAAAGCAGACTTAATGTATCCCTCAATCATGTAAACGTTTATTCTTCTTAAAAATAATTCCGAATTCTGATGCGATTTGGATGATCCAACTCCACCAGTCCTCACTTCAGACTTTCATCCACGTCTCTTTGGATTTGCGAGCGGGATGCAGGAGTGGGCTGAGGTAGAGCTGCCGTTGACTCAGTTTGTCTTCTTCCTCCCGTCTCCGACACTCTTATCTTCTCCTCCTCAGCCGACAGACGTAAAGAGAAATGATAGAATTCTTGATCTGCGGATTAATTATTATCGGAACAACTGCACAAAAAGTTTGTATCATGTTTGTGTCCGTGGCGTAACGACAAAAAAAGCCAGTAGCAACTGAATTGTGTGTTTTCTTCCGGTCAACATAAATATGTTCGTGTGCCCCTCGGCCAATCAGAACCCTTTCTGACCCCCAGATGTTGAGCGTAATTAAATAAAGGTGATGTAACTTGTTTTCCATGTAAACCTCAATTCCTTATTTCCATGTAAACTCGAAGGAGAATAAGTTAATGCTGAACTATTTAGTTCAGAACAATTAATTCAGAATTTAAAAACATGGCCAGTGTAGCAGAGTCTTTACTATTTGAGAGAAGAATTCAGCCAAAATATGAAGGGTTTTTGTGTTAAACTTGTGTGAATGAAACAAAACACAACTCCAGGTGTGTTTGTGATGAAGAAACAACATTATAACATACAGAAGATCCAAAAATAGCAATAATAGCAATATGACAGCAATATGAGCCCTTTAACAGTAACCTGGCAGAACTGAAGAAGCCTCTTGGATGAGTGGCATATTATTTTCACTCCAAAACTTTTGTCCAGTTGGCAGAATTAAATTTTCATTGGAGACTGTCTAATGCTGACCATTGTAGACCACTGAAGTAAGCTATAATATATATTTGTATGAGCTCAGGTTGCACCGTGGTTCTTCTAATGGTGCCTACAGTGAACACTATAATCCTGTCTACCATGGGGCCCTCAGACACACACACACACACACACACACACACAACCATACGCACATTATTAAAACTCACTGACCCCAATCACTGCACACACCCTGTTTTCATTTCCCTACCACACACTCACCCGCTGTACCTCCCATAAAAAACACGTCTGAATCCAGCCAGCGATTCGGTACAAATCAGGAAGTGCCCCCGTGAGCGAGGAAAATGATTGGTTAACAAGTTGAGACTGGGTTTAAGTGGGGTGCACAATTGGATAACAAGCAGGAAGTACTTTATAGGAGAGAGAGGATGTGATTGGATCAGGAGCATGAAGTTTTTGGCTGTGCCCGAGCCCCCCAGAGCTGAGTGTTTTGGACGGTAGCCAGCGGGTGTCCTAATGGAAATTTATAGTTGCGATTATAAAGGGCCAAAGCATGTTAGCAAGTGCTCCTGTCTGACCCCGCAGGCAGTGTGGAAAAGAAACCAAAACAAAACCACCTTTTCACACACACTGAAAAAACAGGGCCTGCAATGTGAATTTAACATGGCTTCTATTACCTGTTGGAAGTAGGGGTGGCCCAAAAGAAAGTCAAATCATGTTTCTTTAATAGCCCATGTCTTCCTTTGTTCATGCATTTTAAGTAGTGCTATTAAAAGGGCCCATATTACTCTATTATTTGATCTACAGTATAGTTATAATGTTGTTTCCTCACCCAGAACAGACCTGGAGTTGTGTTTTGTTTCATTCGCACATGGTTAACACACAAACCCTGCATATTTAGGCTGAGTTCTTCTCTCAAACAGAAAGCCTCTCTTCCACATTGTGATGTCATATGGTAATACAGGAAGTGCTCCACTGTGTTTTTAAACTCCATACACCTTCACCAGAATCATTTGGATGATTTCAGACCAAGAACCGCCAATCTCTACTGAACAAAAGGTAAAAGGAAGCTGTTAACAGGGGTGGGACCAAGTCGTTGTTTTGCAAGTCTCAAGTAAGTCTCAAGTCTTTGACCTCAAGTCCGAGTCAAGTCCCAAGTCGAGTCTCGAGTCACTAGCCCACGAATCCAAGTCAAGTCCGAGTCATCTGCTTTGAGCTTTTCAAGTCTTTAAACCAAAGTACCAAATATATCATAGATTTTTGCAGTCTATATAATTTTTAACTAAATTGTTCTTAAAAAGTTATGGTATGTTTATATATGAATATTTTTATACAAGTTGTAGAAATGCTAAGTTTTCTTTTTTAATTGCCTTGACAAGAGTGCAAATTATTACAGTCAAAACAGAAAGAATTAAAATTTAAGAGTGCTTAATAACAGTTAATTTGTCAACTAGTCTAAGCATCAGGTCTTCTCAAGTCACAGGGCTCAAGTCCGAGTCAAGTCCTAAGCCACTGACCTTCAAGGCCAAGTCGAGCCCCAAGTCTTTGTCTGTTTTATCAAGTCAAGTTTCAAGTTCAAAAAATAGTGACTCAAGTCTGACTCGAGTCCAAGTCACGACTTGCATGTCCCCACCTCTGGCTGTTAACTTGAAAACTACCACTTCATGACATCACAAGGTGGAACAGAACATTTTGAGCTTTGGAGATGTAGACGGACTAGTAATGATGGGTTACGCAAGCATGTGTGAGTGAAACAAAACACAAATCCAGGTCTGTTTCTGATGTAGTAACAACAATATAACACGGCTTAAAGCTCACAAGAGTCAATTTTGCTTAATATAGAAACTTTAAACACTATTGTGAAAATGTATTCCTATTGGATTGACTGTAGACCTCAGTTATAAAGGCCCTCGCTGATCATTGACCATTTTCAAACTATTGTCTTAAGTTAAATTGCATGTATCCCTCCTTCATTTACACTATTTAGTTGTTTTATATTGTTGGACAAAGCACAAACTACTTTTTAAACTTTTTTAGTTCACACTTCACTGTGATTGGTCAAATGTACCTGTCACTCACTCACTAGCCCTGCCTCCTCATAGCAGCATTTTACCGTGGCGAGTAGCTGACTTTTATGTTATTGCTTTGCCTGGAAGATTCCTCAGTATGGCATTATTAACTTATTTATCTTCACACACACAATGTCAAGCCGGTGACATAATCAGACCAAATTACAGGTGAATTTTGAGCAATAAAACCACCTGTAATTGAACAAATGAACAATGTTTAAATTTAATGCTATACTGTCGAACATTCCAGGCAATTATCTCTATGGAGACAAGGAGTTGGCAGAGCTTCCACAAGTAAAGTTACATAATGCGTCTTTAAGAAGAAACTGAAGCAACTCTATGCATCGATATAGATAGTAGAATGAATGTGGTCATGTTTTAAACTGTAGTGAGAAGTTAAGAATGAAACCACCACCGAATTAATCCACTTTTTCACACTTGACCATGACTTCATAGGTGGGTGAGAGACAGCTGTGGTTGTTTGGTGCGTTATTCTCGGGGTGTGGTAATGACGCTGGCTTTAACTTTGCAATTACCATGAATCAGCCGCGTTTGGACCTGACACTCTCCTCTGTCTGGAGCTGATAGGCCCTCATTAGCCCGGCTGCTCCCCTCGCCGGGTCCAAGTCAAAAGGAGCTCTGTTTCTAACTCTGCTCCAGGGCCCACCCCCCCACCACACACACAGCCTCCTAGGTGCACCTGGAACATGACTGAGGGGGTGTAGTGTTGTAGATAGCTTCCCTGACCAGCCAGTCCCTTGTACACTTTGTTTGTATCCAGAATAGAGTAGAACGGGATAATAGAGCTTGAAAAAACTCGAGACGATCCAACCACAACTACTAATTTGTATCACGTGTCTCTCAAACGCGGAAGACATCTCCTCTCCAAAATTCTCGTGTAACATTCAGAACAAAATACAGTATGTAACTTCTTTTACCTTAGAGAAGTAAAAGTTTGGCTTCGATTGTTGATTCTGAGAAAATCCATGCGGCAGAGGTGGGGACAAGCAAGTTGTGACCTGGACTTGAGTCAGACTTGAGTCACTATTTTTAGGACTTGAGACTTGACTTGATAAAATGAACTTGGGAATTGACTTGGGCTTGAAACTCACTGACTTGGGACTTGGCTCGGACTTGAGGCCTGTGACTTGAGAAGACTTGATGCTTCTACTAAAAAAAAAATATGTTTTTAGAATCTACTTTTCTCTTTACAGTTGATACATGTGGTGCTGAATTTTAAAGGAACAAACTGGAACATGTCCCTCCCACTTCTGTTTGTTACTTTGGAAGGAACTGAAGTACTGTGAGATGGTACCTCGAATGTACTACAGTAATATAGAGTACAATACAGTAATATTCATATGGAACTACAAAGAACATGATCCTTCCATTTCCGTGCAGATAAAATAACTCATATTAGCACTCTTAAATCTGAATTCTTTCTGTCATGTAATGACTCACACTCAGATCTTGACAAGACATTTAAAAAGGAAAAATATGCATTTCTTACAACTCTTATATAAATACTCAGATATAAATATACCATGACTTTTTTAGTACAATTTATCTTAAAATTCAAATAAATTGCAAAAATTTAAGATACAATTTGGTTTAATGACTTGAAATGACTTGAAGCTCAAAGCAAACGACTTGGACTTGACTTGGACTTATGGGACAGTGACTCAAGACTCGACTTGGACTTGACTCAGAATTGTGGTCAAACACTTGAGATTTTCTTGAGACTTGCAAAACAAAGACCTTTCCCACCTCTGCCATGCCAACTCAGTCCTTTATGTTGTTTTTTTCCACTTTTTTATAAGCAGCCACGTTTGTTTTTGACGCGAACAGCACATGCGTCTCTCTGATTGGTTAATCCGCCTGTCAATCACATTTTCTGATATGAGGGAGACAGGATACAGCTGTAAGTTTAGTCGAAGCGTGTGGATCTGGCTGGACAGGTGAACCACACACAGTCTCAAAGGTGCACCTGGATCACTGCGGAGGGGGTGTAGTGTTGTAGATAACAGTCTGCAGTCTGGAAATTTGTCAATGGGTTCTGCAGATGTGCTGCACAATCACAACTTAATGCTGCCTGATAATAACGTTAATATTACTTACAGATGTGAATGTAGTGTTTATCTGATCAGTAATCTCAATTTGTTCTGAAGTAATATAATAGGGATCCAGCAGTGGTGAAAGAAGTACTCAATTTTGTTAGTTAAGTAAAAGTACAGATACTGGCGAAGAAAAAAAAGCCTGAGGTAAAGTAAAAGTAGAAATACTGCTTTGCCTGTAACATTCAACAGTATGGTATTAAACTTTTAAGATGCATTTATACAGTTATGGGTGTTTTTATTGCTCAAAAATACCTTTAAAAACATGCCTTCTTACTGTGAATGGGGTCACCTTTTCACAGATCTCACCTGTAAATTGGCACGGTGCATTTCCCACATTTTTCTATGGACTTTGAAAAGTTTAATGCCATACTTCATCTCCTGGCAGACCCTCTACTAGAAATGTTACACAGTGGACCTTTAAGTAAACGTATTGAAGTATCCACTTAGACTTTTTACTCTTTAAGTACATTTTTAAGTGTGTAAATATTTTTGAAAAGATTTTGAGATCTAAAGCTTCAAATGTAGAGATACTGATAAAGATTTGTGCTGAATTTTGTTAAATAGAAACAATTGAATCAGTGTTTTTAAAGTATTTTACAACTTTTACTTCATTACATTCCACCACTGGCGTCTAGACAGAGATTCATTTGGCAAAACTTTTTCAAAACAGGATTTTAATTTAATAATCTCTGTATTGTAATAAAAGACATACGGACCGGTCTGTATTATTGTAGATGTTTGAAATATTAGCACACGTGTTTTTGTTTCTTTTAAAACAGACTCAGATGTTGGATATTATTAAAATAAGCTCCCTCACACAGATTAAGAGCCTTGAATATGATGTGATTGTTAGCTGTGAGTTTTATTCACGCAAAAACATTACTTCTCAAGTCAACACCGTAATGCACTCCTTTCTTTGGGCTGCCAGATCCTAAACTAAAACCAGTCTGCAAACAACCTAAAAGGGCTATAATATGACATGCCTTCTGCAGATGATAGCTAAAGGTTCAGTTGTGATTATTGCTGTTTAGTTGGAGTGGGAAATATGCTGAACAATTACTAATATCGCAATTGTTGTTTTGGAGATTTGCTAAACTAGAATAATTAAGCATAACAACTATAAATAAAATGAAAAGACAGAAATATGTACTGTAAACTAGGGGTGTAACGATATCCGAGTCTCACGATACCGATATCGTCACAGTATGAACCTCATGGTACGATATTTATTGCGATATTTTGTATTATTTTGAGGCTAACAAAACTGTTACTATGCTACTTTTTCCTCTTAAAATGCCTTGAGAAGACTTAACCAAAGAACTAAGATTTAAAAGTGCTTAGAACTGTTATTTCTTTATGTAGTCTACACTGAGATGCAGCAAAGGATCATGGTCTATGTAGTTCTCTGCCTTTTTTTTTTTAGCTATTGCTGCACCATAACTTTTAATTTAAGCAAAGAGACTTGTGATTCGATATATTGTGATGGTCCATGATGTTATTGTGAGAACTTTGACGATACGATATCACGATATTTTGTTGTTCATGGGTGCACTTCCAGCTACATCAACTTTACACTGAAAAATTGTCGCCTCTCTCTCTGTAACTGCTGCAGTGAGCCTCGGCATTTTGGTCTGAAAATATTAACCCGCTCTACATGATCATAGTGTTTATATTTCATTGTTTTATATGTAAATAAACCTCTAACTGCAAGCTTCAGTGAGCTTCATTTGACTGGAGCCGAACGCTATGGGTGACATCACACTCCCTTAGTCCACTTCTTTATACATTCCAGAGAAATTATAACGTCATATTTCTTCCCATTTATTGTTTGTAAGACATTTTAATTGTTGTTAAACTTCTGAATATTGTTATCATCATTACCTTTTTTCATTTAACACTGACCACATCTTGTTTTGTTTGTACAGTCCCGGCCGCTGAGCCCATCGAATACGCACAGTTCCCCTTCTACCTCAACGGGCTCCGGGAGACGCCTGAGTTTGTGGAGGCCATTGAGAGCGTGAGGGCCATCTGCAGTAACTACACCCTCCAGGGCCTGGCCTCCTACCCCAACGGATACCCCTTCCTCTTCTGGGAGCAGTACGTCAGCCTGAGACACTGGCTGCTCCTCTCCATCAGTGTGGTGTTAGCTTGCACCTTCCTGGTCTGTGCGCTGTTCCTGCTCAACCCGTGGACCGCAGGAGTCATTGTAAGTAACACAAGTGAAGTTATGATCGCCTTAAGCAAAAATCATCCTAGAGAAAATGTCCTATATTACGTAAAATTGACTCTTGTGAGCTTTAAGCCATGTTAGAACGTACCTACCTCCTCAAAAATGTACCTGGAGTTGTATTATGTTTCATTTACAAATGTTGAAGTAACCCTTTATTAGGGCTGGATATTTTGCTATATCTCGATATATGATATATATCTCTATCTATACAGGAAAAATAACCCCCCAAAAACTAGTGCAAATGTAGAAACAAAATGCTTCTGCGACATAAAAAAAAAAAAAAATCCTTGTATACAAAAATAATAATTTAATTGTAAAATAAAGGAAGAAATAATACATATTGCTTTCTTTTCATTCAAAAATAAAACGACTCAACCCGACCCAACTAAATTTTACAGCATATAAACCATAACGACTATAGAGCCACATCAGCCCATTTGATATTATAATGTGTTTTATACAGTTTTGCACACATTTGTTTATGTTTTACAGAAACTAAACTTAAAACCACATGGCTCATTTACATAATTATAAGCGCTGAAAAAAACAGCTCGATCCTTGCGCAGGGAGAGTGGGGACGAGCCCAGAGAAGGCAAACAAGTGAAGCAGCAAAATCAGAATTAAATATAAGCATTATATTGATATATACGATATGTCAGAATCCATTTTGTTTTTAAAAATATATCTTGATATATTTTAAATTATGTGTCATGAAAGCTGATCTCAACTGATCCTAGTGAAGTTGTGTGGAGTTTAAAAACACAGTGGAGCACTTCCTGTATTACCATATGAAATCACAAGGTTTCAATTTGAGAAAAGAAACAACAACACAACCCTGGGTATGTTTTTGATGAGGAAACAACATTATAACATCAGAAAATATGGGCCCTTTAAAAAGAAGAATACTGCTTGTTCTAAAATTATGTATAAACCATATGAGAGATTTTTAGATGGTAAGTTCACATTCACTCAAAACTATTCTGACAGTAGTCTGATAAATGTATTTACCAGAGGTGAACTATTGGAGTTGTTCCATGGCTCTTTTACATTTTTATATTGTTTTGACATCTTTATAGACGTCTTTCCTGCTGACAAATATGGCCATTTTCCCAAAAAAATATGATATATGACATATAATCGCTATAACTATTAGCCTCAAAATGCAAAAATATTTTGAGAGTAGAGAGGCATTTCCCTGAGATGCTTTTTTTGCAATTATTGTGCAATTCTGAAGGGAAATAAGGAAAGATTCTTGATATATTTAGTTTTGTATAGTTTCTGTTGCTAACCATTTGTTCAATCATTATTTACATTTTGATTTGTAAATTACATATTTATAAAGTCTGCCTTATATGGTGAAAGCATGCAACATGATCATAGCGATGCAATAGCCAAAATATGAAAAAGTAAACCAAACAGCCATGATAAACCAGATGAGCTGCTGGGTCACTAGGCTACAGTAAATACAACAACCAAACTACAGTTTCAGTATACTTTTAAATAAACGTTAAGGTAAGTAATTGATACTTTGCAGCTGCTTCCATCAATATTCCCTTTCGGTGTGATGCTAACTGTAGGCACTGCTCTGTCTGAGGTTTGTTAGACTTAAATCTGAGGTTTACATAATCTGACCAGAAAGTGCTGGTCTATTCTTAAAAAGTGTCACAGTCACGGATTTTCTTCAAAATTAAACACCTAATTGGACAATAAACATTATTGATCACAGGCTTGTGAAAATGCTTTTTTTCTAAAATTTTTGTGTGTGTTGGTTCACCATTGTAACTGCAGAACGTTCTGTAGAAATACATGTAACACTCCCCCGGCATGATCTCACTGCAAAGTATCATTGCTTGTTTATACAAGAACGCTTGCGGGTAAAAACGACAAAATATTTTTATCGGAAGTGCCTTTCGTTTAGACCAGCGGTGTCAAGCTCAAATTCACACAGGGCCAAAATTAAAAACTTGGATTAAGTCGTACGTGAAATTAAATATTTATTGAAAAATTTCAACAACATCTGCATGTTTTCTCTTCTTTCGCGATATGTAATGTTAATGTACTGTTTTCTTATTAAAATAAATGTTTAATAATAGTTTTGCTTAAACACTGAATCCAGAACAAGCATAATATAAAAATAATACGATTTTAAACAATAATGTTTATAGCCTATCTATCGCGGGCGGGCCAGCTCTAATACATATTTGATATGATCTCGCAGGCCAAATATAATCATATCGTGGGACAAATTTGGCCCCCGGGCCTGAGTTTGACATGTCTGGTCTAGACGGTGACAGCGTTTTTGGGGCTTAAAAATGCAAAAATCTGAAACCACCCTCCAGAACCACCCTCCAGAGTGGAAAAGTTGAATATGCTCCACCGTGGCGTTTCCGTCTACCCTGCCCAAGACACAAAACTGTGGTCAGATCTGCTCACGTCGCATATGCGTTTACGTCACATACATACAGTACACAGAAACAAACATGATTATCACAGCAACACCCGCCTGGCATGCATACCCAATCGAATTCCACACACTTTTGCATCACCATATGCACACAGATTTCCTCCCGAAAACGCTCATCTAAACACCGAATAAAAAGTGAAGACATGACGCCACTTTTGTGTCTTCTGTTCAGATCGTCACTGTATAAACATAGCCTCAAAACACATCTCAAAACCTCCACAACTCCATGAGGTCTGACAACGCAATCAAATCTTAATTAAATTTCTACATTTAACTGTCCTTCACCTTGCGAGCTCACCTCACCAGATGCGTTTCTTAACAATCTCTCTTCCTGGGCTTCCTGCTTTAATGTGTGGTCCCTGCTCAGAGAAGGCACTGCTGCTTGTTATCACAGCCCCAGTCACCAGTGTTTATCTTGGGCTGTTTTGTTAGGGCCAGTCTGTTTAGTCTAGTCCAACACTCCCAGACACCAACCCTGAAATAAATGAGGAGAGGACACAAAGCTGCTCTGGCAACCTTCTCCCTCTCTCCAGCCTATAAAAAGTCATATTTAACTTCGTGCTTCCAACCCTTATAAGCAATAAGAGTTTCCCCGGATACACACAAACAAGCACGGAGCTGACGTGTTTACGTTCAGATATACAGCGGTAATGTGTAAGGTGTGTGTCTTAAACAGCTCTCTGGCTTTATTCACTAGTGGAGAGTATTTTATGACAGGAAAATCCAAGCTACCCCAACCTCAAACCCAGAAAAGTAATTCTCCAATTCATTCTCCAACCAGTTTAATCTGACCAAGTGTTGTTATGATACCAAAATTACAGATTTGATTTCAATAGCAAGGAAAAGAGTTCATATTCTATTCACATTGTGATACCGCAATAGTAATAAGGGCCTGTTTACACAATAACGACAAAATATTTTCTAGGATGTGCCTTTTGTTTAGACGGTGAAGGCGTTTTTGGGGCTTAAAAACGCAAAAATCTGATCCCACCCTCCAGAGTGGAAAAGTTGAATACACTCGGCCGTAGCGTTTCCGTCTACACTGCCCAAGACGTGAAACTCTGGTCAGATCTGCTCACGTCACGTACACGTTTACGTCACATGCATCACCACCAAGCGTCACCACTGAGCCACCTGGATGCATACCCAATCGAATTCCACACACTTTTACATCACCATATGCACACAGATTTCCTCCCGAAAACCCTTGTCTAAACACGGAATAAAAGAGTGAAGATGCGACTCCACTTTTGCGTTTTCTGTGCAGACCGTCATCATATAAACGTAGCCCTAAACACACTTAGTTATATGAACATGGTGTCATTTAAATGTCCTATATTAAGCAAAATTCACTCATGTTACGTTATCAAAAACATACTTGGAGTTGTGTTGTGTTTTATTCGCACATGTTTGAGTAATCCTTTATCCTGGTCATTTAAGACTGATCAGTACAATTACAATCAATTGAAATAGCACAAATAAGTGAGTATTTTTAAAAAGAAACTACTGAAAATATTAAGGTCTCTGGAGTAATGTTGCAGGAGAGTTTTCTCATCTCTTGCTCTGTTGATAGACTGGATAGACTTGTAATGTTTTGAACAGATTATAAGCTATAAGTAATAATAGTTAAACAGTAATTAAACATTTTGGACACTGCATTGGACTGATTTCAAGTCAGAAAAGGATTGATCTGAGTTATTTTGACTAGTTGAGGTTGTCTTGATTGCTCATAATGTTGTCATAATTGCAAGTTTAACAGTTAATGGTTGGTATAAGAGAGAATGTACTAAAGGCATTAAAATACAACAAATTCTCAACCTCCGAAAAAAAATGCTTAAAGTGCTGTATTTTCTTATCTATGTTATAATGTTGTTCCTCTTCAGAAACATACCTGGAGTTGTGTTTTGTTTCGTACACACGTTTAACACACTGCACTAGTCTGCCTACATCTCCAAAGCTCATATTGCTCTTTTCCAACTTCTTCCAACTTTTATTTCTTAAATTAAGTAGAGACTGGCAATTCTAGGGATGAAATTATCCACCTGCAACTTTTCGGGTGCAGGGTCCGTCAAATGCTTTTCAACCATGGAGATGTTATTGCTTTGTCTGGAATGTTTCACAGTGTGGCATTAAACCTTTCTGTCTTCTTGGAGACCAAACCAGACCAACCATTTCTCCATAGCTGGTTCTCAGAGTCTGTACCTGATTTTCAAGGTATTTTTGATCCACTTGTAATTGAACAAATGTAAAATAGATCTGTTTAATGTCATACTGTGGAACATTTCAGGCAGAGCAATGACATATCCATAGAAACACGCAGGTGATGGACCCTCAAACCAAAAAGTTACATAGTGCACATTTAAAAATCAAACAATTCAAGTTATTTTCACAGTTTCCCCTATTATCTGGCATAGCTCCTTGCGTTTCCATTATCTAACAGTGTGTAGAAATACCTCCATCAGGACACACATTATCTGAGAGTTTGCAGCTCTGTTGGACTCACACGAACCCACACGGCACTGCCCACCTCAGACCACTTCAAAGGACCCGGGCCCCATGAAACCGGACACCTGTCAGCTGATAATGGCATTCACTCCCTGCTCCTGTCCTGCCAAAGCCTCTTAACACACTCATACATTCAGCCTATATGAAGGAATGCAGTCAGATGTGGTATTAGAGGGTGATATATTGTTTGTAAGGTAACGGCAAAATAGTTGTTTTGAACAGTGTTTCGCAAACTTTTTTTTCTGGGGACCCATATTTTCAAAGTCCCAAATCTTTGTACCCCAAGTCAATAGACATTATTCGTAAATCACAAAATAAAGGTGGATCTGACCATTATTGAACATGAATGAGGATATTTTATTGTTGACTGAGTGATCGTGTCGCGTAAACAATGAAAAACAGTCATTGAATCAGCAATAAAAGGATCCATAAGTCGCCTATTTGGACATTAAGCCCATTTCTTTTTCTTTTAAATAGCAATATTGGAACAAAATGGTTAATAAAATATTTACAAAAAGATTAGAAATTATACAAACCATGTGTAATTTTCTCAAAACAATGAGATAGGTGGACCTGTCTGCGTTTTTGTCGTCCGGGGTGCAGGAGGAAAGCGCACCACTTAGATCACGCGACCCCAAAAAAATCTCTTGCAACTCAGTCTTTGGGAAACAATGGCTTTGAAGGTATGCAAAATTAGAATATTGAGTATATTTTTAGGAGAAAACGTTGCTGAACACAAAACTTGTAGTGTAATTTTGAGCACTTTTGTATTTATTTATGTTTATTTGTTTGAGATGAGAGTAGCTAGTTTAGTTTAGTTTAGTTTATTTATTTAATGAGACAGGGACAGTGCACAATTGAGTGGTCAGATCCACTCACCCACAGGTTGGTGGTGCGATTCCAGCTCCCACAGATGAACGGTGTCGGTGTGTCCTTGGGCAAGACACTTAACCACCCTCGCCCCCAGTGTCTGTGCACACCGGTGTATGAATGTTTGTGTTAATGGGTGAGTGGGACCTTGATGTAAAGCGCTTTAAGTACCTTAAATGTGGACAAGCGCTATAGAAAAATTTGACCATGACCATTATTTTTGTCAATATTGTCCGCCCAAAGTTACACAGTGCATGTTTAAATCACACTCTGTCTGCCACGCTAACTGTCCTTTTGTTTCTTTGCAGGTGCTGGTGCTGTCTCTGATGACGGTGGAGCTGTTTGGCTTCATGGGGCTGATGGGCATAAAGCTGAGTGCGGTCCCTGTGGTCATCCTCATCGCCTCTGTGGGCATCGGAGTGGAGTTTACAGTCCATGTGGCACTGGTATGCACGCGTTTATGTAATAGTAAAGAATAGCAGATTACCACGTTCCCATAGGAGAATATTAAAGCTTTTGACCATAAAAGGAGAAGGAACAGTGGTCTAATATGTGTAATGACTGCACGATTTGAATGCTGTGAAATGACTACTGTTGCAATATTCAGAAACTAATTGAATTGCAAATTACGTTAAGACTTTCCATCTGAAATACTTTTCTTATTAACATTAAAGGGAAACTGTGAAATGATTTAAATTGTGACCTAATTGTGGTATTGTAGCTGTAGTTTAACCCTGTTTACTAGGGCTGGGTATCATTTAGAAGTTGCTGGTACGATGCATACCTCGATACAAAGATCATGATACGATACATATCTCGATACAGTGATCTTTCGATTCAGAACAATTCAATACGATATATTTCAAATCGATTCGATACAGTTCAATGAATAAAGGCTAAATCATGGCTGTGATACTAAAAGTCTTTGTTAAACTACTTCTTGTGCAAGTTCATATGAAACACACCCATTTTAATCTTCAAAACAGTAAAAATGTCAAATATGTCATATACGAGAGTTTCCTTCCACTAAACAAGCAACAAAACTGTAGCGCTGTAACAAAATAATTCAACAAAATATACCAAAAATATTATTTGTGATATATCGATACAGCAGTCCATGATATTGATACTGTATCATCACATTAAACGGTACGATATATCGATATTTTAATATTTTTGCACACCCCTACTGTTTAGTCTTATGTTTACGTTATGTTGATAGTAAAAGAGTGTTAAGGAGATTACGAATTTACATTATAATTCATGTCAAATTGCAATTCTCAAAATAGTTCTCAAAATGGATTTAAAACGTTTTACATTCTTCAACAAAATGTCCTTATTTAGACTGGCATTATACGTTAAGGAAACCACGGTCTCAGTATAATAAAAACATTTGTAACTCTAACAGAATAGTAATCAAATCTGAGTGTGTACAATATCAATATAAAATGTGCATTTTCAAAAATAAAACCCTTTGAACGTTTGTGTTACAGGCCTTCCTGACTGCCATAGGGGACCGTCACAAGCGAGCGGTGCTGGCCTTGGAGCAGATGTTTGCTCCTGTCCTGGACGGGGCCTTCTCCACACTGTTGGGAGTGCTCATGCTCGCAGGCTCCGAGTTTGACTTCATCGTCAGGTAATACAAAGAAACACATATATGTATATTATTGAGGCGCCATGCAATTACTTTGACTTGCATTCATTTCCTGGAGACTGATCCTAATCTTAACCATAGTCACTACTTGCCAAGCCTTATCCTAAACCCTAACCTTTATCTATTTTATTATTTCTGTTGTGTTGTGTAGATTAAGGCAGTGTTCTCCAACCATTTCTGTCTTAAATACTCCCTATATACTGTCAACAAAAACATTGGCATTGGTTTAAGTTTTGGTATTGTTTTTTTTTACTACAAATGATGGGTAAAAATGGGCAAGGAGGGACTAACCCTAACTTTGAGGTTGCTTTTCTATAAAGTTGCACTATGTAACTTTTGTGGTGGACGGTCTGCCACCTGTTTGTCTCTATGGAGATGGCATTGCTTTGCCTGGATTGGCTTTTAACATATTTATCAATGACCAGTGTTTGTAGTGATCTAAACTACCTTGAGAAACATGCATTCTTACTGTGAAGTAATGTGAAGTTACTGCTCCATAGATCTGGCCTATAACCTATAACCTGTCTCCATGAAGACAGACATGAAAAAAAAGCTCAGTGTCCATGCTTCATGTTTCCTTTACACTCATCGAATTTGCTACCAAGAAAATTATTAATTCCAGTACTGTTTGCAATTTTATATCTGAAATACAGACTCTCAGAAAATTCTAATATCATGAAAAAGTTAAATATTTTTGTCACTCATTTCAGAAAGTCAACACATGTATTATATCAGGTGTCTCCACCCTTTTTCCTCCTGTGAGATACTTTTACAAAATAAAAATGCCACAGACCTACTACTTTTAGTGGTCAGAAGAAATTGAGTGAATAGAAGAGCCACGGCGAGCCTTAGATGAGGAACAGTTAGACGCCCGTAAAACATAAACTATTATAAACCATTTATTAGTGTCCAAAGTTAGGCATCAAAATGATACAAATACAATGGTAACAGGCATTTAATTAATCAAATTTGACTTATTCAGTACAATATGTATAATTTCAGAAATCCCTTGGTGAGCTACTTGGAAGGGGCTGGAGAGCTACTGGTAGATCCCGAGCTACAGGTTGGAGATCCCTGTATTATATAGACTCATGACACATAGAGTGAAGCTTTCAAGACCTTTATTGCTTGACATTTTGATGATTATGGCTTACAGTGAAAACAACCCAAATTCTGCCCCTGCTTAATATTTTTACATCTGCACCCCTGTTTGTGAAGCCCTGTGTTTTTTTTGTTTTTTTTATTGAATGGCGTCGTTGTGGCGTCGTCGTGACCACTGAGCTCATGCTTGGACCTGTATGTCACTGAATCCACCTGAGCTGACCAATCATGCATGAAGGCTCCTCTCTGCCTCTGTCCCTCCTTTCAGGCTACTCTTACACCCGCATCCAGCCTTTCTCTGTACACCTCTGCTTTTTACTTTCTTTCTTTTTTAACAAGAAGCACCATAAACTCTAGACTTCTCTTATTCTTCTACTTTCTATTGACGCTTGACGTTTTAAAGCCAGCTAACTAAGGGACTGGGAGTTGAAGGTCGGATGAGAGAAAGGAGAGAGAGAGGAGAGGAGAAGAAGGAAAGGAGAGGAGAGCAGGAGGAGGGGGGGCATCTGGCTTTTGTAATGTGCTCCAGCTACTTTAACTGTTGTGGCTGGACATTTATATGCAGGGGAGCATTGATGGGGTCCAGAGTAAGTAGTCAATACCAGAATGACAGGACAAGTGGAAATGGAAGCTAACTCGGTGTGGGAGGGTCTGTTGTAATAGTTTTGTAATATGTAATGTTATTTTTTAAAATGTACCTTGATAACACTATCCAGAATTGTAAAAAAAAAACAAAAAAAACTGCCGGTCAAGCTTTTTTTGTTAGATGATTGAGTTGAAAGGTCTGTGTACCATTTATTCTTTTGAATTTCAATTAAGAGCAAAAAACAATTAAATGGGAAAACAGATTGCTATTTCATTAGTCTGTTTTAGTGTCAGTTTATTTCAGATAACACCAATTAAAAACAGTCTCGGTGCCTATTTTAATTTTGATATTTTATTCTCTCTGGTTTCTGCTGCAGTATTAACCATGGATCTATAATTAAAAAAAATATTGTTATTATAGTTTTAAGGTGTCAACTGAACAAAGTTTATCTCCTCGCTGCTTCTCATTTCTCATCATGAAGTTCAACAATTACTTTCTAGGACACGAAAGTAAACGCGTCGCTATAAAAGAAGATGTTTGTCCACAAAAAACGATTTTTCAGAAAAGTCCTTGTAGCTGCAGAACTTCATATAAACCAAAGAGAATAAAATATCTAAATTAAAATAGGCACAGAGACTTCAAATTAAATAATAGAAATAGAGGTTGAAATCAGTTTTTTTTTTTTTTTGACACTCAAGCAGAATAATGAAATAACAAACTGTTTTCTCAATTTATTGTTTTTCATTCATAATTGAAATTTAAAAGAACGAATGGTACACAGACCTTAAATACGTACTATGTAACTTTTCTGCTGATCTCCATGGAGACGTTGCAATAGCTTTCAGTGTATTGTTATTAAAATGTAAACATAAGACTTGATAACACTATTTGGAATTGTAAAAAATGTGCAGGCTACAAATCAAGCTTGTTCAATTAGGTGGTTGAATTAATGATGCACTATGTAACTTTTCTTTTGGTCTCCATGGAGATGTTGTAATAACTTTCAATGTAATGTTATGAAAAGTCTAAAATATAGAGTATAAAATAATTGAAAACACTGTTCAGAATTGCTAAAAAAAACAAAACAGTGTAGGCTACAGATCAAGCTTGTTCAATTAGATGGTTCAATTAAAGGCGAACTACGTAACTTTTTAGTACTTTGTCTGGTTCTTCACTATGGTGTTAAACTTCTCTTTCTAACATTAATTTAGGTGTTTTTGTTGCTCAAAAATACCTTGAAAAACATGAAATTTTAACGTGAGCGTGGTCGCCTCTCCACAAACCTGATCTTGGCCTTGTGTTGTCAACTACTAGTCTCCATGGAGATTGTTTAATGCCATACTGTGGAACATTAAAGTAGTGTGTATGAATGTAAGGATAAGTTATATTCAGAACAATGGCCAGCTAGTTGCAAGGTTGACAAAACAAAATGAAGGAAAAATAAAAGTTTACTGGTTGGGAATTGAACCATCAGCCAAAACATTATAATTATAGTAATACCATTTTAGAACTTTTAAATCCCCATTGGTTCACTACTAGGCAAACCCTGGGCTCTAGTCCCATAATTTCCAGTACACATTTGCAGTGTAGTGTGGCATTAAGTCTATAACTCACTTTCCCAGTTGTCTTGATAGTGTTTTAGTTGGATGTAATGACTTTAAAGGGTAATATATCACATTTTTGGAAGACTACTACTACTTTGTACAGAAACTAAGACCAAGTCACGACCGAATCCCAAATGGACCGGAGCCAAGATCAAGAAAGTCAGACTAAGAGAAGAGAGGGCGAGACTGCCTCTGCTTGCTGCCAATACACACATGGATAACAACAGTTCTAGGAGTTTAAGGGGTTTAAGTTGGACTACTCTCTACAAGAATCTATTTTAAAATGTAGTTTTGAAGCTGTGCAGAATTTGAATATTGTGTTTATCATTTCTAACAGGAAAATTGTCAAAAACATGCTAAATGAGTTGATACAAAACCAGGCATAAGGGGATGTTTCAGCACTTACTGTATGTGATTAGCTTAAAGGTGCATTGCGTAACTTTTCTGGTGGAGGGTCTGTCACGTTGTTGTTTCTATGGATACGCCATTGCTCTGTTTAGAATCTTCCACAGTATGACATTACATAGATCTACTTTACTTTTATGCATTTACAGGTGTTTTTATGTCACAAAAATACCTAGAAAAACAAGCATTCTGACTGTGAGCGAGGTCGCCTCTCCACAGATCTGACCTGTAACTTTGACTTCTTTGGTCTCAATGAAGATCGAAAGCCTTAATACCATACTGTGCAATTTTTTATTTTTATGAAATACTGGAACCTCAACCAAGCCATTTAAATATAGAAGTTTCACACATTTCTGATGGATTTCAAAAGTATTTTAAATAATATTTTTGTGGGAGTATTAAAAACAGTACACAGTAGGGATGTAACAATAACCAAAATATCATGATATCGTATCGCCAAAGTTCTCACAATGACATCGTGGACCATCACAATATATCGATTTACAAGTCTCTTTGCTTAAATTAAGAGTTATGGTGCAGTAATAGCGAAAAACACAGAGGGAACTACATAGACCATGATCCTTTGCTCCATTTCAGTGTAGACTACAAGAAGAAATAACAGTTCTAAGCACTTTTAAGTCTTAGTTCTTTGGATTAAGTCTCGTCAGAGGAAAAAAATTACATATTAGTCTCCACAAAATATCGCAACAAATATCATACCGTGAGATGTATATTGAGAAAATATCGCACCGAGAGATTTGGATATCATTACCTCCCTAATTGTGATCTTTCCTACAATATAGCAATAAATATCGTTACACCCCAAGTACAAAGATGTCAAATAGATAGATAGATGCTTTACAAATCTATGTAGTACACACGTAAGTTAGTATTTTACAAATCTTTCTGAAAGTAGGAGCTCTAAAGTCCATGTTATGTACAAATATGCTCTCAGTGTTATGCAATTACACCTTCCATTAATAACTTCAATGATTTAGTACAAGAACTTTTAGATGCGAAAGATTGTCAACTTCTAAACACAATGTGGTCTATGTAGTAAAATAGAATCTCCACCCTTTGGTCTGGTTTGGTCCTCTTTTTAGCTCATATAGTTTCATTTGAATTTCCTTCGGGATCAATTCATTATCTATCTGTCTAGTCCTGATGTAGACTTGGTGTGGTCTTGGTCTAGTCCAGATTTATTCCAGGTTTTGGGCGGTGTGTGTGAAAGTTTGAACGCTCTCTTAGTAATTTTCTCCCCATGTGAAAGTGGGAGCTCTGAAGTC